GTTCTAAAACATCCTTTTAAAAAATTCACAAAATAGTGTGAGTGTTTCTTCAAAGGCACTCTTCAGGCTGGATGATTTGGAAACACTGCAGAATGGCAGATGAGATTCAAAGTGAGCAAGTGCATAGTGTTCCACATTAGGACAAAAAATGCCTAACTCTGTGCATACATTGATGGGATCTAAATTAGCTGTCACTACTGAGAGTGGGGACTTAGGGTCATAGTAGAAAGCACACTGACGTCAGCTCAGTGTGCTGCCGCAGTGGAAAAAGGCAAATCTGATACTGGGAATTACTATGAAAGTGCCTGAAAATGAAACTCTGAGGATACCATTATAAACTTCTGGTGTGCCTACAGTTAATGTACCATATGCAATTCTAGTGGCCTGATTTTGAAAAGGATAGCATGCAAAGGGAGAAAGTACAGAAATGGGTGGCTGAAATGTTTGGGACGATGGAACCTGCTTTGAAGAAAGGCATAGAGTTTACTCTTACTTAGATAGTTTATAACATTATTATGATTCAAAGACAGAGGAGAGAGCCAATTTCTCTTCCACAACATCAAGACTTGAGGCCATCCAGTAATTTGACAGGCTGTAAGTATAGGACAAATGAAAGTAAGCACTGCTTCATGTCATACACAATCAACCTAAAGAATCTGGTGCTGCAGGGAGTTTGGATAGTCACTGACACAATGACTTTAAAATGGAATTAGACCATCCATGGAAGATCAAACTGTCAATGACTGCAGGAAGCCATGATGTGCAGGGACAGTATATCTCTGCTCAGGAGAAAGTAGAGGTGAAATGCCAGGGGATGGAGGCTGTGTTCCTCTCCGTTGTGAATTTTCCAGGGGTATCTGGCCAAACTCTGTTGGAGGCAGAATACTGGATTAGATGGACCTGTAGTTCAATGTTGCAAGGCAGTCTTGACACAGTTATGTTGCAAACGATGCCCAGTGGGAGAAAGGTACAGGCAGTGCCACACATTTCTGGAGTCCATGCATGTGTCATCTGGAGGGAGAAACTTGCTTTCCCAGGTACAAGTGTATCCATGCTTTCTCACTGGGTTGGAGAAGAGTGCATCAGGTTTACTACAAGGGTAGGAAACTTGGTATCTTTCAGATGTAAGTCTTCCTGGTCCAAGTTCAACACTCCCCACTATGCCACATTAATTTTCCTGCTGCAGTCTGAAAACTAGGAAACATGGTAGTTGTACCACAAAAGGACAGCCTTGAGGAGAGATGGGAGTCCAGTGAGTAACAAACTTTATTTAGCATACGAATTGTGCAGAAAGTCCTCTCAACTACTAAATGGGCTTTCAGCCTGTGAAGGAATGTCTCTTAACACAGTTTTAAGGCAGTGTCTTCAAGTGAGTTTCCCTTGTAAACTGGGTGGGAAAGTCTAGTTTAGAAATGAACAGCTAGTCACTGATGAACCTGAGCTGTAGGGCAATCTTATTCTACCTGTGGTAGCCCATGTAAATTTTACAAAGTTTTCCTTACTGTTTCCCTTGTAAGAAAAATAAACTTCAGCACTTCAGCATTGCATCCACATGTCTCTGTTTTTGCATGCAAATGCATCCTTTTGTATGCAGAGCTATAGCTGAGATTTTTATGCTCCATAACTTGGAAGGCATTGCAGTGAGGTAGCATATGGATCAGTATGGAGCCAGAAGAAATGTGAGAGGCTCATTTTTGCCCCAGAATGAACTTCCAGGCCCCTAAATGCCTGAGTCTAGGAACAAAATAGCTGCTGAAGATACCATATTAGTCCCTCTTGGGTCTAGATAGAGAGAGAGTAGATGGTGAAAATTCAATTTGAGGCTCTTGGCATAATGGCTGGCTACTAGAGTTGGGTGTCCAATTAGACCCCTGTGCTCACTCTGCCATTAAGGCCAGTGATGCTTCATCCTCGTCTGAAGTTCCTCATGGCCTAGGCAAGAGGTTGGTATGCTGGAGATGGGTGGTGGGGAGAGACTGCAGATCTTCTTGGAGGCCGCATGCAGGCCCAGCATCGTGCTGACATGGCCTCAGCAGGGAGCACCGCATGCCGGGTTTCCCTTATGCAGCATCAGAGCTCTCCCTCCAGGGTTGGAAAGAGGCTAGGCTTTGCGCAGGAAGGTGTAAGCTGGTGGTGCTCTGTAAGTAATATGGATGAAGCCAGAGACAAAGGAAAAGTAGGTCAGACAGGCTGAGCTGCAGCTCGGCGTCTGCTTGCGTGCATGTCTCAGGGAAATCCAGTGGCTCTGTGCTGCAGTGGGAAGGTACTGGGCGGGAGGACTGTTGCAAGAGCATCCCTCTGCCAGGCCTGGCAGTTCTCCCTCTCAGAGGCACCTGTCCTGTGGGAAGGAGGAGCCGGGTGTCTTGGAGCTTGATTTCTGCGAAGTAACTTGTTTAAGGGGCTCCTGGTTGTCCTTCCTTTTAGATATCATGCTGGAAGAAGCTGCTGCTCTGTGATTGTGGGGAAGAGCTGAAAGAGCCTTTCTGCATGGTCTCAGAGGCTGTCTGAGCTCCAGGTTCCTTGCTAGCTGAGGAGAATGGCAAGGGGGGTGGCAGCCGGGGTCCCTTGAACTCCTTTCAAGCCGTGTTTCTGTGGCTGGTAGTGAATTCCCCCTCCCACCCCTACAGCTTTAGCTGAGAAGTGGCTGTGTAGCCTGCTTGCTTTAAACAAGCATATGCTACATATGGCCCTAATGGAAGAGGGATTGACAGAAGGCCCTTGAGGCCTTTCTTTTTAGGGTTATTGAGCAGAAGCCAGGCAACCCCCTGCAAAGCAGGAGTTCTGTTCACAATCTGCAAGTAATGGCATGTGCTTCCCCCATTGCAGTGTTGGGCAGTTCGGGCAGAGGAGTGAGATTCATGAAGTACTGAACATTGCAGAATATTGCAGAAGTAGAGGGGCTTCTCTCTTGCATTTCGTCGTTCTTTTTTCCCTGTGGAAGTATCAATGTGCTGTAGCAGACTTTGTCTCCCCCGTCAAAGTTGTATTTTCCCTCATGATAGTCATAGCTAGAAATTGTCTTATCTAAGGCAGTCATGCCTGGGTGGGTGTTCGTATGTGTAGCTGCATTTGAGTTTTCAGGCTGAAATTCGGTAGGCTCTTGGGTTCAATAGCCACTTTTTTTGGCGTACCTTCTAGAATCTACTTTGTAATACTGCTTGGTCCCATCTTGTGGCTTTTGCAGGTCGGTTTTTGCAACTTGCATCACACACAGGTGGAAGTATTTGTCTGCCTTCTGTCCCTTGAATATGCCAGAGCAGGAAGAGATTGCTCCTAGATATGCATAAGCCTCAATCCCTGTAGGGGTGAGCAAGTTCAGCAGGTCTGAGGGCCAGTTTGCCACCCCCAGAACCCACCACAGGCAACACATACCCCCCCCCTCCCGAAATCGCTGTGGCTGCCAAAGTACATTTGAAATTTGTAAACAGTAAGCACACTCCTAAGTTCCATGGAAGTGCAAAACTGCATTAAAAATGGTGCTTACTCCTTGTGATCCTTTTTACTGCAGGGGTGGGCAGTTTGTGATGCTTCAGATGTTTTGGCTTATGGCTCCCATCCGCTCTAGCTAGCATAGCTAATGGTACGAGAAGGTGTGAGCTGTGGGTCAAATCATCTTTGTGTCCAAAAATTGTGCACCCCCATTTTAATATGAAAAAGCAACTTTTTTGTTGCCATCGCCAAAGCCTCAGCAGCAGTGACTGGGCCGGAGAAAACAGAAAAGAGGCTGCAAGGCCTGCAGGCATCCCAGAGCCCACATGTTGTTGCCTCTTGCACTGGAGACCTGGCTTGGTTCCATCCAGTCTTGTGCACATCATAGTACTCTGGGTGTGGTATGCAGAGACCAACCCACTGGCCGCTCCTTTCAACATACTGATCACCACTGGGTTGATTTTGCATTCAGGGTGACCTTGGGAGACCTTTAAACATTGCCCCAGCTGCTTTTCCATGAGCAGTTCAGGCATGGCAGCAGAGTGCTTAAAAGAGCCTCTGAGTCTCGAATGATTCCGCTCTTCCCAGCATCTAGTGACGACAAGTGTTGGCTGAGATCCAGAAGGGTCAGTGCATGCCCAGATTTTTCTTAGAACTTAATTCTTGGAAGGTGCCCCACAACTCATAAGTTCCAAAAATAAGTTTGGGGATCTGGCATGAAGAACCTTCTTAAAAGGGAAATGCTGCCCAAATGTGCATTGTCCAATCTTTTCAGGGATTGGATAGCCTCTGGTTTGAACTCTGTGCAGCCCCTTCTGAGAAGGAAAATTGGAGAGGAAACCTACTTTTTGCAAACAGGATATGTACTCTCCCCTGAAACTCGGTGCCAAGTTGTTCATTTTATTTATGCATCTTGTCCTCAGTCCCTCCCTATCTGTGGGGCACCTTACATGGCCTTGTAATGAGGAGCATGGCAAGGGAGAGGAGTGGGTTCCTGGCTTCCTTTCCCAAGCATTTACCCAGCACCTGCTCTAGTTGAGTGGCAGTGGTTCCAGTATGGCCTGAGGCTACATGCAGCATGCAGATGTTGCGCATGTTGGCCCCCAAAGCAAGCAGCCCTCTGACATGCCCAAAGCTGAGTTGCCATGATCTACAGAAAGGCTGATTAGCTGCTGCAGCCTCCGTTCTGGCTGAGGGGCACCAGTGGTAGCCCAGACTCCCCAGGTAGCTGTCTGTTATACATGTGGCCTCCGGCTGGCAGTTGGTCATTGCTGATCGAGAGCCTCATGGCTGAGCCCAGGGCAAGACCTGCTGCGTCTGCTTTCTACCCTCCAGGAAATGCTTGCTGCAAAGTGTTGATTGCCCCTTCTGGCCTTTGTGTTGGGCAGAGTCCCCCCATTCCTGGCCATTCATCAAATACGTCATTCAAATGAATGCAAGGTGGCAGGGTTGAGAGGGACTCTTGCTTCCCAGCAAAGCTTTTGAGTCCAAAAAAGTGTGTGGCAGGTTGGATGCGCAGGCATAATTTTCTCTTATTAACATAGTTTCTTGCTGCCTCTGCTTGCTTACAGTGAAGGAGTTTCTTGCCAAAGCCAAAGAAGAGTTCCTCAAGAAATGGGAGAACCCAGCTCAGGTACGTTGACATTTTCACACTCGTGGGATTTTTTTCCCCTCCACCTGTTGATTCTGCATGGTGTCCTGTGTCCTGATGCTCTTGTTTGAAGCCCTTAGATCCAATGTGATAGCAGCACTGGGTGTGCAAATGCAAGCAGCCATTATGTGGGACTCCATGCACCAGTCTTGCATATAAATCAACTTGTCAGAGAACCCTGGCAATGTGTGTAGTGCTGCATACCATAGAAACCAGTGCCTTGGTTTATACAGATGTGTGGAATGCTGTGTAGTTATGTGCTTTGTTTCTACATTTTAAACATAACCAGTATCATTTTAAATGAGGCCTCAGAGGGCCTGGTTAAACCTTTCCTCTCAAGGCCAGTGACACCAAAGACAAAAGTCTTGATGCTAAATCGCCCTGTTGAGGAAATAGGACAGATGTCTCAGTCCCTTTTTATTCTTATGGCTGCCCCTCTTGTGGAAGTGATTTGAAGATTGATTGTACCAAGGGGTGCAAGAGGCAATGAGGTGACCAGGCTGGAAACATGGAACAGCTTGAGTGAAGGATAGTTAGCTCTGGGCTAGGCCCTCTTTTACTTGTGCAGTTCTAGGATTGTTTGTAAGATGTATTTGACAGGAAGAACCATCAAGGTATGCCAGGCTAGAAGCTACTTTAACTAGGAGCATATAGGAAAGAACTGTCCCAGTTATTCAAACCTGTAAACTGTGCCCCATTTTACAGGGAAGATTCCAAGCCCTCAAACCATCACTTACCCTCCTAGGCCTTAGCAGGTCATGTTATAAGCAGCCAAATGCAGTGTATCTTCCCCCTGTTACATACACACAAATAGCTGACTGAGGTAAGCACTATTTTCTTTCCTGCAGTATTGGTGCGTGCCTGGCTGCTCCACTCACAGATCCAATGCTTTACCTTTTCAGTAAATCACTCCCATGAGGTACTTGCCAAAATAGCTGCTCCAGAACCATAAAAAGGCTAATGAAATTGGCTCTCAAATTTGGATGCTGCAGTTGCTTGAGCTACCCCTTCTTTTGTCCCTTATCTATAATGTCATGCCCAAAGGTGATGTTACATGTCATAATGTTGTGCACTAATGCAATTTTGGAGCTGGTACTCTTTCCGCCAGGCTCTCAAGCTTGAGCCATAGTTACTAGGTTCCAGTTTGTTATGGCTGCAGTTATACAACGTGCTAAGCCACCCTACAGATAAGTCTCGTGGTGCAGGTTGTTGGCGAAACAACCCATGGTGTGCCTGACTGATGATTGTACCCGTTGCAGCTTTTTGTCTTCCTCCTTTGCCCTTGATCCTCCAGCCAGTATCCCAGCACCCTTCAGGACAGAACCCATCTAGTCTTTTCCCTGCTCTGATCACTTCCACTTCTCATTCACTGCTGTTTTTTGGTGGTTGTGGGAGTTCAGAGACTCAAGATGCAATCATGGCCATTAAGCAAAAAAGAGCTTCTGAAAATTGTGTGTGTGTGGTTTGTCATTTTATTGTCGGTCTTTTACAAGTGCACAGTTAAAGGAGAAAAAAGTAGTGAAAATAGGTGCATGGGGGCAGGGGAGCAGGACAATAGCTCCTCCTTGGCAGTGTGATACTCTGGCTTCTAAGTATTTGGGCTGAGCCTTCTCCACCACCTTTCCAACTCTTCGCTGATTCTCCAGAAAACTCCCCCTCTTCTTGTCTCTGTTTACTCCTCTGTATTTACTACCCTGCTCTTAAGCTGGTGCAGATTCTTTCTCCATTTCCCAGCCATTAAATTTGTATAGGTTTCCCAGTCCAAAAAATGTGCAAATATTCCCAACAGTTAAAACAAACAAACCCCAAACCCCCTTACAGGGGTCAGAACAGAGCCAGCGGGACAGCAGCACCAACAATGCCTACGTCTCCTTCCACAGGCCCCTATTCACTCCCTCCCGTACAGCCACCTTCTCGAGGTTTTTAGAACGGTCAAACAGCTGCAGTAGCCATAGCAGCAAGTGCAAGAAAAGGAAGCCACAAAATATCTCCCACTTCTAGGCTAGCTGGAGACTCAGAAGGGTTGAAACGTGGAAGATACAGCAACATGGCAGTTCAGTACTTAACACTGAGCAGATTAAGTGTCTGCTGTCTGAGGTGTGTTCTTTCCCTGCATTTTTCTCCTTCACTGGCATTTTTCAATTGACAGCTAGGCAATTGGCCCCTGGCAACTGTGAGCAAATTAGTCAAATACAGGCCTAGCTTGTCAGCTTCCTTGTATGTTGCCTAATCATCCCAGGTGCTCCCTTTGACAGCTGAAACATACAAGGAAATTGACCAGGAAAGATTACATATATTGGACAGCTTTAAGAGTGAATGTTTGTACTGTGAAAGACTGACAGCAACAACAGCCGCAGCAGCAGCAGCAGCAATAATGCAAACACATCTGTGCATTTTGGGGACTGAAAAAGTACTTTTTTAAATAAGGTGGCAAACCAGCAACAGTCACTTCAGAGTGTCACCTGGGCAGAGGGGTTGTCACTGGTGGTAGCAAATGCAAGATTGCAAAGAGTGGCTCTCTAGCTGATCCCTCTCAACCCATGATGAAATTGAACTGCTGGATTCAGACAACACAAAACCCATTGTGGATCGAACAACCCCTAGCACGAGCCATGGGTTGTAGGGGTGAGGTGCATATTACCAAAGAATAAGCCACTCTGTGACTAGTTGCCCACAATGGATATTCATGCTGCACAAACCCAGAGTTATGAGTGTTGCTGTTATTGCTGTCATATGGCGTGGATGGAGAAGCTCTGGCTCATGAGCCAAATCCATTGACAAATGTCCCTTTTCGTCCATTGAATTACTTTCTCTTGCTGCCAAGAGGCTGGAGCATTGAATGCCTTTCTCTGTAAAAACTCTTGCCTTTTGCACCCTCTGGTGGTGAAAATGAAACTGTGTCTCGCCGCTAAGAAGCCTGTTGATGGCAACTGCAACTTTCAGGATGAAGGGCTGCCACTCCACAGGGACGTTCCTCTTTGAGGACAGTTGCTGCTTTAACATGGCAGGGAAGGACATGATGCTGCCTGCGAAGGCTGGTCTCCTAGAGGAAACTGCTAGCCTGGCGTCTTGAGCTACCATCAGATCCCGAAACATGAAGGGCTTAGACTCATGTGTGAGACTGGTTTCTTCCTCTGCTTCCTTTCTTCTCTGCAGAACACGGCCAGCCTGGATCAGTTCGACCGGCTCAAGACCCTAGGTACAGGCTCGTTTGGGCGGGTGATGCTCGTGAAGCACAAGGAGACTGGGAATTACTTTGCCATGAAAATCCTTGACAAGCAGAAAGTGAGTCTAGCCATGCCAGTGAACGGTGTGTGCATCTATGCCAGGGGCTGTGGGGAAAAGTGTGCCTGACTGGCAGGCTGGCTTCCTGTCTTGCAGGTTGTTAAGCTGAAGCAGATTGAGCATACCCTCAATGAGAAGCGCATACTCCAGGCTGTGAATTTCCCATTCCTTGTCAGGCTAGAGTATTCTTTCAAGGTAGGTGGAGTCAAGCGTTACCTTTCTTCCCCGCATCCTCCCTCAAAGGAGTCTGATCCTCTGAATGCCTGTCACTCTGAAGTGATTGAAACTGTGCATGTGGACACAGCATGCCATCGGAGGTCCTCTATACTCGGAGAAACCAAGTTCCTTTATAGTGTGTCTTCAGATGTGTTGCTTTTCTAAAGCTTCAGCCTCCACAGAGGACAAGACTTCCCAGTTTGTGTTGCCTACCCTGCATGCATTCCCACACATGACAGAAAAGGTGCAAATCGGACAGATCCGTCCCAGGTGCTGGCTGTGCCTGCTGTAGCATTGAACCTTCTCTTGCAAGCTGTTACTTGTCAGGGAGAGGAGATTCCATCGCAGCAGCAAGGAGGTGGTGGCAAGGGTCAGGGGCAGAGACACTGCTCTGGGCAGCCATGAGCTGCTGCGTAGGCATTCCCTGCCTTCAGTATTTCCTGGTGTCTGTCAGGGTTTCTGGCTAGCTGAGTATCCCACATGGCAGACGTGCCAGCTGGTGGGATGCTTTCTGCTAACTAGCTGCTGCCTCTGTGGGCAGAGTGTACTTGCCTTTGGGAGTAGCCTGGGTGGGTGAGGAGGAATCGCCTGGGCCAGAACAACGTCGCCTGTGTCTCTCTCCCCTGCAACAGGCCCTTGAACCCCTGGGGTTTTGGGCCCACCTCTTTTCCAGCATGCATGCCAAGGGATGCCGCTGTTTCTCTCTGGGTTGACACAGACTTGAGAGTTAACTAAAATGTTTCTGTGGAGCATGGGGAAGAACTCTCCTTGAAAAAGGGCCAGCCTTGGGGAGAAGCCCTTTCCACTTGACCTGGCATCTGCTGTGTTTCATGAGAAGAATCCACATTGCAATGAAATGTGTTAGAAAAGTACTTTCTGGCAGTAGTACAACTTCTTGCAAGTATGTGAGTGGGCAGTATGAGAACAGGGAAATCCTAAGAAAGGAGCTGCCATAGTGAGCATGTAAGTATGGGCTAAGAAGACAATTGTGCTGTTCCCAAGACTTGGCCATTTAGATAAGCTCTAGATCAGTGTTTCTGGAAGCTTTAGTTAACCACAGTTACAGGGAAAGAATATCAAAAGCCATTAGGCCTTGCCTATTGTCAGGAAGGTTAAAACCATTAAACACCCACGCACACACCCCTGCTTTTGAGGAAGTAGGCATGTTTTTGCAGCCTTTGTGACTGTAACCTGAAACCTTCTCTGTTTTGTGACTGTAACTTGAGACCATCTCTGTTTGAGGCCTTGCCCAGCTTTCCAGCAATATCCCCTTCATAGTTTTTCTGCATTATTGCAGTCTTTGAAAATAAAATGTCAACAGATTATAAATTTGCAATCGCAATAAAATCTGAACAAATAAATCCATGCTACCTATCTTACATAGTTTATTTCAATTATAGAACCTGGGAATGAGAAACTGTGTCCTAACTCTAAATAGATATTTACTCAGCAGTAAGTCACCCTGATGTTAATGGAACTTGCTTCAGAGTATGTCTTGTTAGGATTATAATTTTAGTGTTAGGTACCTGACAATGCATGTAGTTAATCCCATTGGTGGTAGGTGTAATGCATGGAGCTGCTGCTAGAAGATGCAACCTGTGTTAGTAACTTAAGAATTGGCTTCTTTGGTGACATTTTAAAGCAATGCCCTTGTCATGGCAGGAAGGGCCCTTTTATGGAACATAAAACAAAGCCCAAAACCCTTTCTGCTGTTAAGAGCACTTTTGTGTCAAGCAAGCAGCTTGAACTTTGTGCAAAATATGATGTCCGTCCATCATTTTCGATGAGGACCTTGACATCTAATGTGCAAAATATACTGTGCAGATGAATAGGGACAAGACAAGAAGGTAATGTTCATCCACATGTACATTCATATTTTAAAGAACTCAGAATCATTCAGGACAGGTCAATAGTGTAGATGAGCCATGGGCAAAGGAAGCAATAAGAGGATTGAGGCAAGGTGGGATGCTAGCCTTTGGAAAGGAGCAGCATCTTTACATCTGAAACAGTGGATCCTTAGCCACCTCTGGTCCAAGGAACACTGTAATGTTTTCAAATTAAATACCTATTTTTTGTTAAATGAAATTTGAAGGATAGTGAATTCTGTGCAAGATATGGAAACTTTTACTGGCACCCATATTCTTTTTCTAGAGTAAACCTGTGGATCTGTAGAATGTACTTGCACAGGCTTGAGCAGAATGAGGTGGTGTAATCCTTTTGTAAAGAAATAGGGGAGCTGCAGCTTAGAACATGACAGGGTGGAGGTGGGAGCAATGCAGGGGTTGCCGTGGCTCTTAGTTGTTTCTGCACTTGCTTACAGGATAACTCGAATCTGTACATGGTGATGGAATACATCCCAGGTGGTGAGATGTTCTCCCACCTACGACGGATTGGCAGGTTCAGGTGAGTGTGCTCTTCCATCACTGGGTGGATGGGTTGATGCTCTGTTTGCTCTGAGTTGTGGGGACTCAGAAACTGTGTGTGGGGTTTCCTGTCTTTGTGTGCCAGCTGGGTTAGAGTTGGGAAGGGGATTTCTGGTTTCTCTTATCCTGTGCTTCAGACAGGGCTGGGTAACAGCTTGTGGCCCTCTAGATGTTCGGCCGTGACCCCTACCCTTGGGTGTGCTGGCTAGTGCTTTGAGGGGAGATGTAGGCCAAAACATGTGGAAGGCCTCAAGTCACCTACCCCTTGCTTAAGGTCACGGGGGGGTAACCTTGCAGTTTCAGCATACTATACTCCTGGCGGTCGCATTTGCTTTAACATTTATACTCGTGCTCCTGAACTTACAGGAACAGCTTCGTGCTTTCAGAGTTCAGTGACAAGGCCGTAAGTTCCTGACGTTTCTCAGTAACACTTACGGATAGGCAGGCAGGCCAGCTTCACGAGACCATAGGGGCTGCACACTTTTCACCAAGGGTCTATTGTACGGCGCCTTGGGTATAGAGGGAGAGTGTCAGAGCAAGAGCTTCTGCATCTTTTTAGCCCAGAGTTGCCCTCCATGGGAAACAGAGGAAGTGATGGGCTAAGTTCTAGTGGAAGACTGAAGGTCCTATTGGACACACAGGGATGCCAGAATCATTGGCATCATGGGAAAAAGTGAAGGGGAAGCCTAACTGATGCTGTTTGACAATTGTGTATGGAAATGCCCTTCTCTTCTCCAGTGAACCTCATGCCCGGTTCTACGCCGCTCAGATTGTACTGACTTTTGAGTACCTGCACTCACTAGATCTCATCTACCGCGACTTGAAGCCTGAGAATCTCCTCATTGACCAGCAGGGCTACATTGAGGTATTGCTGTTTCCATGCAGGCCATGAGGTCCTGCTGTCCAGCACTGTCAGAGCTCCGGCCCTTGTCAGTATGCGCAGGCATACAGTGTCTTTCCCTAAACATCTGAAACGATTAGCATGTTTAGGAATGACTAAATTTTGCCAAGCATAATTAACTTCGTATGAAAATGATGGAACTGCCAAAAGCAATTGAGGGGGCATTTCTTTCTGTCATTTGTGTTCAGCTAACAGGAAATGTGCCAACAAAAGAACTAAAACAAAACAAAAACCATTCGTGTGCCTGGTTAACTGAGTGCATTCCAAAGAACCAGATGTTACACTTTTCCTGCCCCTGGAAAATACGCATGTTCAGAAAATATTGCAGTTATTGGTACTTGCTTTTAGAAAAAGACATTTTCCTTTGAAGAGCAAATCTAGACTTTTCCTTCCACTTCTATGCCTAAATAGCATCTCTGCCCATGCCGAGCTTTTGGCTAGGATGCTTCGCCACCACTGCCTTTGTACTGCTGACAAGCCACATCCTTTTCCCCCCCTTATCTCCAGGTGACAGATTTTGGCTTTGCCAAGCGAGTGAAAGGCCGAACATGGACCCTCTGTGGGACTCCAGAATATCTGGCTCCTGAAATAATTCTGAGCAAGGTGAGTTGCCTGTACCCAGAAACAAGGTTCTGCACTTTGATCGGCCATGGAGGAGGCCCATCTCCATTTCTCCGACTTGCACAATCCTCAGCTATTTCTTCAACTCCTTTTTGCTTCATACTTAAGTGCCACTTGTGCTTGCTGTTTGTAAACCGAGCCTGTCTTCCTGTTGCAGGGATATAACAAAGCTGTGGACTGGTGGGCCCTGGGTGTCCTCATCTATGAAATGGCAGCTGGCTATCCCCCATTCTTCGCAGACCAGCCCATTCAAATCTATGAGAAAATTGTCTCCGGGAAGGTAATGCTTCAACAGAGAGGCTTGCATGTGAGGTATAGGATGTTGTACCCATAGGAGAAACACTCAGCCCTTGATTTGAGGGGCATGGGAGAAGCTGCCAATCTCTGTATTTCATACAATTTTGTTGTAGAATGCATCCACTCCTAATGTTCAGTGAAGCATGGGCATGCCCTTTACCCACCAGGAGAATAAATGACTTGAAATAAATTCTACAGGCCAAGTGGAATACAGGCTTTCTGGAAGTAGAATTCCAGCATGGATCCAAATGGAATGCCAAGCCTGTATCTGTGATCCTCTATGCATAAGTGGTTCCTGGAAAAAACAGAATAGTCTTAGGCCAGAAAGTTGAGTCTTTGCATGATCAGACAAGGGCAAGGTAGAGATGGCCTGCTGAGGATGGAAAGCTAAGTAGGGTAAAACCAGGGAAGGGGCAGGTGTGCAACTAATGATTGCTGTAACTGTAAAGCTGTGACTTACCAAATCTCAACTGCCAGTTTTGTGGCCACATTGCATCTAGAGCTCTTTCTCCTCTTCCCCCACTCCAGCTACTTCCCCAAAGAATTTCCAGAGAACCATACTTGAAGACTTTGATTTCTCACACTAGGTGCTATTTGAGTCAAGAGATTAGTTACTGAGCTGCACTGATCCTTCCTTTTTTCATCAGCTGTTAAGCCTAAGGGCTGGTTGGGCCTATCCAGACGAACCACCATGGCTTGCTGTGAGCCACAGTGTGTGCTGGGCACAGTCTGCATAATCGCTGCCAGCTGTGCTTTCTGAACTGGGGCAGCATGGCTTGTTGTAGGGCTAAGCTACCTTTCAGTAACTCTCCAGCAGCCCATTGTAAATAATTACTAAAGCATCATAGTGAAAAGCTTAGGATTTTGGTCAGTTTTGCTTCTCAGAAAGAAACTGATCTGGTTTCAGACCTTTGTAAGGAGGGCTTTGGTTCCCAGCTTAGCGAAGCAAACTGTAAAGTTATGCTTGAGGATTAAAAATTGACAGTCAGGATGTCAGTACAACACCCTCTTCCAGTGGAATGGGTGCTGATTAGCCAAAGGAAAGGGTTGGATCTTTCTGTAAGGCAATATTACATGTCCTGCTTAAAAAAAAGAAATGGAATTTGTTTTGTTGGTTTGTTTTTGCTTTGTTCATCCATTGATTAAATCCCACTTTTTTTCCAGCTGTTATGACATACATAATCCTCCATAGACTCAGTGATGCCAAACATCATATTTGTTCTTGATGGATTAATTATGCTATGTACAATTTCCAGTTTTAAGTTAACCCTGATTCACAAGTGTACACAAATACAGGGCACGTCTACACTGCAAACTTAAAGATGTCTTAAAATTGATATATTATTTTCCACCGCCCCTCCAAGTAAACATATGGGCTCTCCCTGGGAGATCCTCATTGCCTCACAGAACTGCAATGCCTAACATTACTTGGGTGACAACCATGGCAGTTAAACTTCTTTTAAAAGCTGTAGATTAGCCAGGGACACAGCCCACTGTCACATTTCTAACCTAGTTTGTGATTCTTGCCAAATTGCTTCTAAAATTCCTCTTGGTACTTAAACAGTGGGATGTGGGGGCAACTTCAGGTGCACACACACAAGAGAATGTGTGTTTGTTTCCCCCTTTTAACAGCTTCGATGCCATCCCCTCCCTGATCAGTTTGGAATTTCAGTGTAGGAAGTTGCTCACTTACAAGAAGCTAACTCACCCATACGGCATACGTTATGCCTGCTTTACACCTTAGCTGACTTCAAGACAAAACCTGCACTGAAGAGGGACGCCAACCTCTGCAAGTTCACAATATGTTGAATAAACTATGTTGCTCACAGGCATTATGCAAATAGTTATTTGATCTGCAAAATCAGTTAAATTTAATTTAAGACACTTTTTCAGCCTAATACAGAAATCAGCACATTGCCATTTGTTGACAATGTTGGGAATTCTGTCCTAATTAAAATAGAGCAGGTTTGTGGGGTCTTTTCTGTTGTGGTGGTTCTTGTTTTAGAAGAACCCAAGCTTCCCCAAGTGCAAAAAATAACCATTACAATTAAAGAATTCTCAATCCAGGCATGGCTGCGTTTGACTGTCAGAACTGAATGCAGCTCACATTCCTTCCACATAAAAGTCACCTCCTGACTGTCCCCCAGCTGTCTTCTTTGCAGCAGGAAAATATTGGGGGGTATCACTTTATTGCTTTTGTTAAGTGATGTAGAGTCAGAAAGTCTTGCTGATCTACAGTCCGAGTAATTTACCTGCAGATTGCAATCTACTTTCTCACTGTCCCTGAATGGTAGCTGGAAATGGAGGATTAGTATCCTTAAGATATATTGGTGGGTTGTAAGTACTTGAGATGGTGGTTTTGAAAAAAAGAAAACTATGTCTTCTGTTCATCACTAAAGGCCTTTCTTGTGCTCCTGTTGTGTCGAGAGTGTTCAGTGAAAGCCTTTTGTATCTTTCTCTCTTGAACCCTTAAGAGCCAGTAGTTCTTAAAAGAATAACATCTAGAATTTGGGGGGACTACAAGATGTGTTTGATCGCCAACCTGGGATCCCAATTTTGAAGCAAATATTGCAGTTGTAGACATGCAGTGAATTGGTAATTTTGGCTATAGAGCGTAATGAATCTCACTACTTGACCTCTTCCTGCGGCTCTTATATTTCTGCTAAGGCCAGAAAGATTAACCTGCTGTTGACTTTCACATCCAGGTTCGTTTCCCATCTCACTTCAGCTCAGACCTGAAGGATCTCTTGCGTAACTTGCTCCAGGTAGACCTCACCAAACGCTTTGGCAACCTCAAAAATGGAGTCAATGACATCAAGAACCACAAGTGGTTTGCTACCACTGATTGGATTGCTATCTACCAACGGAAGGCAAGTAGCAGTGCTGCAGGGTACCTGGCTGATCGCAGCAGGTTCTTGCACTCTCCTCCAAAGCAAGTTTTATACATTTTCTTGCCAGACAATTATTGCCAAATGCCTGCATAGGAACCTCGTACTGTTACTTACGCACATGTATTTGTTTATTGATCCATGAAGTCCTCAGCAACAAATGTGGCTTCACTGCATGTCACAAAGGGGGCATAAACAGTCCGTTCCCCACACACAAATTATGTCTGTTAGAGAAAAAACATACATAAAGTAAACATTAGTAAATGCTATAGGCAGCCTTCCTCAACCTGCTGCCCTCCAGAGGTTTTAGACTACAACTTCCAACATTCTTGACTTGCTAACTGGGGCTGCTGGGAATTGAAGTCCAAAACATCTGAAGGGAATAAGATTGGGGAAAATTGCAATAATTAGCAATATATAATGTTGGAGCCAATCTTGTGGTGCTCAGTTATAGGACCAATTCCACTGCTGCATCTGGGCTGATAATTAGTAGCAATTAAATACATCAGACCAGTCCTTTATGAACTGGAACATTTCAGATATGCTGCAGCATTTATTAATAGCATCAGGATGCTAAAATCTCCTCAGCTAGTATGTTGCATCCCATGTTGCATCCCAAGAGGGCTGAGATCAGGAATGTCTTTTGCATGGAACAGGACAGGAATGTGTAATATACCAAACATGATCATTCTAGTAGTCAGTCTTAGTTCTTCCCCACACCTACTACAAATAGTTTGGCTGAGTTGCAAACATTCTGGAGATGAAGGAGGTTGAGATTTGGGCTCCTGAACCAGAAGCAGCAAGTGATATTTCTGGTTGAATCCACTTGTGCTTAGTGGGAAGGTGGCCAAGCCACAGGGAGAGAAGAAGTTGGGCCCTGTTCCCATTGGGATTAGGCCCAATTCAGGGCCAAACTAGACATGCATGTGCTTCTTTATAGGTAAAAGAGCAAGCACATATTTAATAAACATGCGCAAGCTGAGTTTAGCCCTTTGAACGTGGGAGCTACTGAGACAGGCTGGCACAGAGCTTATGTTGCTCTGATTGCTAAGGGGATGGACTGAGTTGTTTGCTTTCATGATGATCCCTGCATCACCTACCCACTTTTTAAAAAACTTTCAGTTGCAAAGGGGCCTAGATAGATAACCGGGCAGGAAGGGCAGTTTCACAGTTAACAGTGTAACTGACTTTCTCCTATAAACGCATGGAGGCATGACCCATACTAACCCCTCTCTTTTACCCTCCCCTCTTCAGGTGGAAGCTCCCTTTATACCAAAGTGCAAAGGCCCCGGCGACACAAGCAACTTTGATGACTACGAAGAAGAGGAGATCCGGGTGTCCATCACTGAAAAGTGCGCCAAGGAGTTTTCAGAATTTTAGGGCCAGCCCCCCCCCCCCCCCCGCTTTGTGTGCCCATGAAAGGAAGGGCTGGATTTGATCAGTCCCAAGGGCCAGAGTTCCTTGCCTATAGGTTAATTTTGGGAGGTGGGAGAGTGTTGGGGTTCACCTGGATCAGTTTGGGCAGAAGAGAGAAGGGGGAGTTCATTTTGAAGCTGTGGAAAAGGCAGTATTCTGAGTGCCATCTATCCAGCTCCCACCGCAAGCTACAAGGTGGCTCCCAGCCACTCTCAGGCAGGTTTTAAACAAATTCCCTTCCTCCTCACACTGACTCCAACCCATACACAAATCCTAATCGGACAGTCTTCTCCTGGTTTATTGGTGGCTTTTTCTTTTTCCTTTTTGTCTTTTTCGTCTTTTTTTTTTTTTAGGGGAAAGGGGATATTTTGCAATTCATCACCACCTATAAAAGTTTGGTTTATGGGGCATTGCAAAAGATTCTGGAAGTGGGGAGGGTATGAATTAAACACATCCACACAGCACTTTGGTGTTTAGACCAGCACTGAATGGGTTAATGGCCCAACTTTCTCACCTCCCCTGTGGGACAACCCCTGTACTTTTATCAATATTTCCCCTGGCTCCTTTTATTAACTTTAAAGAAAACGTTTAAAGAAATAGTTGACTGGCTTTAAAAAAAAAAAGGTTTTTAACAGTCTAGGTGGGACAGTGCTTTTATATGCTCTGTTTCCAGCACAGTTAAATTCAGCGGAATTTTAACTCTGTACAAACAGCTGAGTTTTAGCATGAATAATTTGTTTTTGGTCTTTTTTTTTTTTTGGGTGGATAGAAAGACACTTTATTTCCAATCTTTGTCCCCTGTTTTTGGGAAAGTGGGAGGCAATAATTCTTACACCTGCAGGAGGGGGGCAGTGACTGGTTGCCAGCTGGAGCAAGAGTAGTAAGAGAAAGAATCCTGTCTGAATTTGTCTGTCTTAAATGTGCACACACCCTTTCTCTTGCGCCTCACCTTCCCCAGACCCGCCATACCCCACCCCACTCCCAGGCATTCAGAATGCCTCTTAAGCTCAGCTTCACTGCTTCAGACAACCTGAGTGGAGGAGAAGCAAGCAGGTTCTAGTCCACCCTGTGAAACATCAGAATCTAGACAGTTGCCACTGTTCAGAGGGGTTCATTCCTCTTGGTAATAACTGTCGGGAAGGGGCAAAGTATGTATAGAATTGAGAGCTGCTGGTGAGGTCCACTGACTGCATCGGATGCCACCAGCCCCAGCCCAAACTTCCAACTTCTGCTTTGCTGATCCAAGGGTGTTTTCAGTCCATGGGTGAAAACTCCATTTCTCCAATCCTGAAGGGCTCCACCCACCTGCTCTGTATATGTGTGAAAATGACAAGAGGTGGGTAGCTATCTAACCCTGATGTAAAGGAGTTGAAGTTTGAAAACAGAAGTTCTGGACAGACTTGGGCAAGGTGGTGCAGTGCTGACAACGGAGAAAACCATTTTAATCTGCAGTTCCAGTGGGAAATGAGAGGTGGCACTTGTCTTTTTTTCTGAGACATGGATGCAGAGGGAGCTGTGGCTCAAAAGGGTGTGGAGGGGAGGGCAGCTTGTTTTCCTCCCTGAAATTGTTCTGGCTCTTCCCCTCTCCTTTCCAGTGCAATGCCTCTTTGTGTTCTGTCTTCACCTACCCCACTCCAAACACACACTTTCTATATGCGCCAGTTTAGTTTCTTCTGTTCTCTTTCCATGACTGGGGAGCAGAGCAGGCTTCTTTAGACTGATAGACGAATTATATAACACATTCAGAAGCGCTGTCAGGAGCAGACAAGCTTTGCTTGTTGCTCCAACTCCTCATCATTCTCTTCCCACCAAGAAGCTCATCAGCCCCCTCTGTGTTGGGTTGGGGAGAGGGGGAGTTAAGTACCCACCCACTCCCTGCCTTGGGGCAGGGGGAACACTTCTATGTAATCCAACAAGACTTGTTTCACTGAGAAAACAACCCTACTTCCTCTTTAACAGTGTGCTTTGTTGTAAACATATTTGAAACTATTACCAATAAAGTTTTGTTTAAAAAAAATTGAAATTCACTTCCTGAAATATGGCATGTGATGGGTAAGGATGGTGGGGAGGAGAAGAAAAGGGAGGGATAAAATGAAAAGGATGCTTGAGTAATTAAATAGTTGGGCTTTCAAAATGGCAGGTGTAAAGAATGACACTGGATAGCAACAAGTTACAGAATATAATTTCCTTAGGAGGTAGTATCTGCACTTACATTGTACAATGGCATTGTCCATAGAAACAACCAGCCCAAAGTGGGTATTTTCTGCACACAGTTTGTCAACTGGCTGACATGCCTTGGAGGCATATGGATTTGGATGCAAAATGTTCTACATAAGAAAAGCCTTCTTGAATCAGACAATTGGTCCATCTGGTCTAGCACTCTGCCCAAGTTCAAATGGTGGCAAACCAGCTGCTCACAGGATCCCTTAAGCAGAATGGGTACCAGAGTCCCTCCTACACAGGCTCCCCTGCAACTGCTGTATGTTGGTGTGCTCTCATAGTGGAGGTAACACATAGCCAGCAAGGCTAGTAGCCACTGATAGTCTTCATGAATTTGTCCAATCCCCCTTTCAAGCCACCCAGATTGGTGGCCATCACTACTTCCCGTGGCAGTGAATTCCATCCTTTAAATATGTACTGTGCTACGAAGCACATCCTTTATCAGTCCTGAATCTCCTGCCAGTCAGCTTCATGGGATGACCCCAAGTTCCAGTATTATAGCAGAGGAAGAAAACTGTCTGTCTCTCCATTTTCTCCATACATAATTTTAAGTGCTTCTATCATGTCTCCCCATTTTTCTAAACTAAACAATTGCAACTGCTGTCACCCTTCTTCATATGAGAGTTGCACCAATCCCTTCATCATTTAAATCATTGGAAACTGTCAATGTAACATGCTAGCTCTTTTAAAACAACTAGCCAGATTTTCAATGCCGATGAAAGTATTGTGGGTATTTTTCTGTGTATGTGAACACACAGATTTTCCTTTTTTATGGTGTTGGGATCCTGGGAGCATTTGGAGGATGGAAAAGTAAGATTATAAAATGGTTGTGGAAGTAGGGTCATTTGTCATTTGCTCCAAGTTTGCATTAACAGTCCAGATTTGCCAGATTCCCTAGGCTTGTATGTTGTTTTTTTCATGCAGCATAGTAAAGAAAGATCCTTCCCAATTCATGACAAAAGAACACACTTTTTGTCTATACAGGAAATAAAGGTAGTGTCCTGATCAAGTAATATAATGTACTTATGGTATGGTACAATGTCTCCTATTGCAAATTGAGTCCCATGCAAGGCCATCAAGGGCTGGGCAAACTGAGTAGAAACCACTTCCAAGGCAAAAGAGATGTTCAGGTATCCTTTAATAAGTCAACCATTGGTAGCATAAGCTGGTTATTGAAGAAGGGCTTGATCCTGGCTAAAAAAGTGAGAGTGGCGGGGGGGGGGGTTCTGTCTAAAGATTATTAGGATTGAACCCTTATTCACCAAAGATACTGTTGTATTGCATGTGGCCTTTGGGATTTTCATCTCTGGTTGTAGCTGACAGACCCTTATTTCCAGCAATGCATATGCCAACTACAATTAACATAGATATCAGTGCATTTTTCTTAGTCTAAATTTTGGTTGCCTTGAAAAAGTTTGTTTTAATATTACAAAGAATTAATTGGCTTGACTAGCTCAGGTTCTAGAGTGTTTTGTCATGCTGCTACAGACTTCTTCCTTACAACTCAGGCACTTCTAATTTTACTGCAACTAGCTTTCATGTCAGCTCTGTTCAAACAAAGTGGAATGAGGTGCACTGGAAAGCTGAGATGAACTACCTCTTTTGAGAGTGGAAATTCTACACAAATCAAGGACTAAGGGGCTAAGAAATGCAACTGTGAATTCTGAAGCACGTTGGCTACTTACTCAGTTCACATTAAAATAAGGCTTCTCAGAGAAGGCTGGGTAAGACTTGAGGTTGACATTCTTAGATTCTTTACTTAGAATAGAAATGATTTCAAGAAGATTGCTAGAAGGGAACAATTCTCAGAATTATGATTTTTTGAAGGGCAGACAAACTAAAGCAGATATGCTGAAGTTACAGAGCAAAGAATTTGACCACAGTAATCAGTATCTCATAGGCCTACCCACTGCTACTAACTGCTGTGGAAGAACTCTGCTTATGGAAGATACCACTGTCCAATTTATGAGGATTCTTTCTGAAACCCCACCCCATTCAGAAGGTTTCCCTGACCCGCAGTGAAGCATTTTCAGGAGGTAGCAGAGTAACTGTGAGGAGTTATGTCTGAATCTAGATCCAGTCCATAAAGTTTTATGTGCACAGGCATATAGATTTAAGAATTCCATGGAATGCTGCATTCTGCTCATCCTTCCATTTAAGATGTTTGGAAATATTTTATTTGCTTGCTAACCAGTACTGGGGTCCTTGAACAAAGCATTTTAAAGTCTCCAAATGAGAAACTTAGATTGCAGGAGCATTTTTGCTACTTTTTAAAAGCAATTGCCTTTGATCTCTCATAGAGTACACGTTTTGGTTTGGAAGGGGTATGTAGTTCAATCTATCAAAAATTTTATAGTAAAAGATGTGTTGGTGGATTTCAAAAACAAGGCAAGTATCCAAAGTATGTAGTTTATTTCCATCTTTGAAAGGAGAAGGGTGCAGGGGAAAATGGTTGGACAGCAGATCACTCCAGACCACTTCCTGTCACTGACTCAGCTTCTAAACATGGTAATATTACTTCCCTTTCCTATGGTTCCATTATTAATAGCGGGGGTGGATCAGAGCCACCATTGTACACAAACCCTATACCCACTAAAGTTACAAAAGCTCAACTCAGAGTTGACTGCAAATTCAGGCATTGGGTTGTATGGTGTTGGCGAACATTTTCTGAATTAGGATTTGTCCTAAGATGGCACACAATCATGTTGTCATAATCTGATATTATTATATTGGAACCAATTTACTCACTTGGTCATAATGTTGTATTTCTAACCACCCTAATTCATAGTAACAATTGCCAAGAGTGCTATGTTATTGTTGTGCCTAATTTACCAAAATCAAGTAGGAGGACATACTGTAGGCTTCTTCAAGTGTTACCAAGTTCAAATAACTGCCTTTCCTTCACCTTGATCTTACTGCTAATACTGGCAAAATGCAATTAATTACAATGGTGGTGGTTTCTTTGTTTACTGCAATGAACTCTGCTGTAGTTCAGTGGATTTCTGCACTGTGAATCCCTCTTTGAGAACTAAGTTGACTCCTGTTAGGTAGCTGTGCTAGAATAGTTGGTCAAGCTAGAGCAGCCTCCCCCAACCTGATGACCTCCAGATGTATTGGACTGCAGCTCCTATCATCCCCAACCGGCAAGGCCATGGCGGGGGGGGGGGAACACATGGAGGAAGCTCTACTAGAGTGATGAAACAATGTGTACCTCTAAAACTTCATCACTGTACAGGGTACGGTACAGCAATTTACTTGTGGAGAAATCAACTATCAACATTTAAGAGTTAAGAGGATAAATAAGGTCATTTGAGACCATCAAGACATTTTATCTATCTATCTATCTATCTATCTATTTATTTAAACTGGTTAATGATGATTATCTTTGCTGGTGATTTCCACACATGGCCAGTTGCTGGTACACTGTATTGACTAGTCTTGGGCAAGTCCTGTCTTGGGTAAAGTTGCCTCCAGCGACTGTTCTTGGGTGTCCTGAAAAGGCTGACCACATTGTTAATAAGTGAAATAACCATTACTTTCACTTCCAGGGAGTTTTTACATTTTGGGTGCCTTCTCTTCTGTTTCAGAAGCAAAACAACCGGCCTATCCTTGATTCTATCCTTGATTGACCAGAGCGGAATTGCTGTTGTGACTCAGGAAGCAAAAGGCCAGAAATGAGCCAGCCCGGAATAATATTCTGTGGAACACAGCTTTGGAAAGGGAGAAGGGACATATCTGAAACTTAGCCACACAAGGCTTCAGGTGACTGCAAAGTAATTACATCAACAACACCTCAGCCCTCTCCTTTGCTAGCTGGTGGGATAGATATTTGATGCAGGAAACAGAAGCAATGACTTTATTATGGGCAGCTATGATTTCACTTTTCAGGTCCAATGAACCTTATTCTGTGTGCACACATGCGCATGCATGCATACATGCGCAGGAGATAAAATCCAAGAACTACCATTAATTCCTTACCCAGATTGAAACAGGTAGGAACATCCTTCCTTTGATCATACAAAGGGAGCAGCAGCTTCTGTTGTTACCTATCGAATCATACATCTGGTCCTCTGCCAAAACGAGTAATCAAAGTGCAACATATTCAGCAAAGTGAGGGCCTCCCTTCTAACATTTCTAGAAAGTGAGGGCCAGCTCTACAGGAGGGTACATTGGACAGTATGACTTTTAAGGCAGACTTCTCCTGTTCAGGGTGTCAACTAAAAGCCATGCAGCTTCACCCTCGTCTATTGACAGGGTAGCAAGTTCTACTTACCTTCAGTAGCGCTTGCTTATATCTGTAGAACAGCAAAGAATGGAAACATGAATGGTGTTAGATCAGGGCTGCAAAGGAAAATGGCATAGGAAGAGGAGGAGTGCTTGCGTCTGGGAGGAGGCACATTATTCTTTCTCTTTACGGTACGCTATATTCTGTATACGAACACAGAAGCCCGTTCGTATTTCAGCGCTCGCATTCATCTGCCCAGACAACAGCGACCAGCGCACAAGGACAAGCAGAACAACGGCCAGCCACTGGGACCACTACGGAAGAGTGTGGATAAGCACTTCTCCGGTTCCGAGCGGGATGACGGGTTTGCCGAATCGGCTCGTGTGCGGACTGGGGTGGGGGTGGGGCAAATGAATACGGGCGTGGGAAGAGAAAACGAACCATTGCAGAAAAACACTGGAAGCAAAACTTCAATTTCACTTTTCCACCAATGACTCCGGTGCAAACTCCTCCTATAAATGAAACAGACTTGGACCACCCACCCCCCCGCCCCGCCGCTGCCGACTTCTGACGGATCCGGCCAGAGAGCGCCCTTTCTGTTCGGCGCGGCTGCTGAGGGGACAGCGAGAATTTTCCTGCTCCACCTTAAGCCGCCAAGTGTAGGGAGGCTACGGGAGGCAACAGCGCCTCCTTAAGCGGCTGCGGGTCCCGCTCGGGCGGTGGTGGAGGCGGCGGCGCGTGCGGCTGGGGGAAGGGGAGGGAGGAGCTCGCGCTGCCCGGACCAGCCCGCGCGCCGCCACCGCCGCCGCCGCCGCCGCTTCCAGCAGTAGCAGCGCCTGCCGGGCGGAAGGTCCACTTCGCGCCGTGCGGGCAAAGGCTGAGGCCAAAGCGGAGCGACGCACGGGGGCAGTGAAGCCCCGGGGGAGGCGGCAACACCATGGCCGGGCCCCCGCCGCCGCCCCCGGGCCAGGAGGCGCCGCGCTACCAAGAGTGGATTCTGGACACCATCGACTCGCTGCGCTCGCGCAAGGCGCGCCCGGACCTGGAGCGCATCTGCCGCATGGTGCGCCGGCGGCACGGCCCGGAGCCGGAGCGCACCCGCGCCGAGCTGGAAAAGCTCATCCAGCAGCGCGCCGTGCTTCGCGTCAGCTACAAGGGAAGCATCTCGTACCGCAACGCTGCGCGCGTCCAACCGCCCCGGCGAGGTGGAGCGCCCGCCGCCAGTCCAGCGGCCCCGCAGCGGCCGGCCCGCACTTCCCCGCCCAGCGCTCCCGCCGCCACCGCGACGCCCCGGTCCTCCCAGCGTGCAGCGCCGCGCGCAGAGCCAGCCGCGCCGCCGCCGCCGCCGCCTCCCCCGCTGCCGCCGCCGCCGCCAGGGCCTCGTCGGACCGGACGGGAGCGACCGCCGCCTCCCCCAGCCCAGGAGGAATCCTCCCCCGTTAGTCTGCGAGAGATCGTGCGCTACTTGGGCGGCGACGGCGCCGCGCCGGGGGGCGGCCGGGTGACTCGAGGCCGAGCACAGGGGCTGCTTCAGGAGGAAAGGCTGGAGAAGACCCGCTTGGGTGGCGGCGGCGGCGGCGGCGGCAACAGCGTCGCCTTGCCCAGGGCGGAGAGAGGCGCGCAGGCCCGGGCCCCCAACGCCAGGGCGTACAGGAACAAGGTGAGGGGCCGCCGAGGCGCGCTCTGGGGGATGGGCTGGGGGAGGCGGCGGCGGCGGCGGTGTCTGGTGCCGGGCGAAAGGGACGCACCGGCTGAGGAGAACAGGTGAGGCTCCCCCGGACGGAAACGGACCGCCCGGAGTGCGCGCGCAGGGGGTGCCCGAGCGCTAGTGGGGGAGGGGCGGGGCGGGAGCGGGCGCCCGCGCCCGCGCCGGCGAGGAGCGGCTTTTGAGGAGGGTAGACGGCGCCCAGCCCCCAAAATGTTGTCAGCGGGCGCTCGTGCAGGTGTGCGTGTGTCTGGGAGGAAGAGTTATGGGCAGCACCCAATCAAATCGCTCTGGCACAGGAGGGGGCGCTAGGATTGGTGCCTGCGTTTAAACGGGGCAATATTCTCCCGTGCGGTTCCGAAGTACGCTGGGAAGGTGAGAGGGGAAGGCTGCCGTTGGGTGGCCAAACTCCTGCCGGGGCCCGGGGAACTCGAGGGCCCACGCGCGGGGAGCGGAAGGAGGCGCTCTGGCATGCCGGGGGGCTCTGCGGGCGCTCCGCACACCTGCGCGTGGCCCTCCGCGGAGGAGGCGCGCCGGCCGCCGGTGCACGTTGGGCCCAGAACAGCGCCCCCTCCTCCTCCCCGGCTCCCCCCACGTCGTACCAGCCTCCATATAAACACAGAACAAAGAGTCAGTTTGTGTTTGACCTAAAGGGTTCTATAACCTCCAATAAGGTTGAGAGGTGGTGGGAGTAATGAGCGAATGGGAATGTAACGGGGGCGCCAAAAGGAAAAATGATGTGCGGATCGAGTGGGTGACCACTTCGGGAGTGTAACTCAACCCAGTCAGGATCCCCTTAATGATCAAGGGTAGAGTACAATTACAGCGCATGTAGTAAAAGGAACTTTTGTGAGGGTTCACATTTGGGTAGTCTTCGTGAAGAGGATGGAAGAGCTTAGACTTCATTGCCCTAGGCAGATTTGTTGAACCAAGCTAGGTAGAGAATGGGTGGAGGTGAAGTTTAATTGTTCTTAATTCGTCTTGGGTTAGATGATTCCTGCTCCTGTTTCAAAGAGCCATTGCCTATAATATGGCACTATACGGAAGGCTTTACTGTGACCAGCAAAGCCCCTGAGTCCAACACACCCAGACACACAGCATTGCCTGTCCCAAAATTAGTTTGATCAAATGTAAGGGAAAACCAGGCAGGAACGGCTGCTGTTCCTAAGATTACATGTAACTTGAAAGTTAATTGAGCTGGAAAAGGAGTAATCAAAGGTGGCTAATCGTGCAATGCTAGATATGTCTACTCAGTAGTAAGCCCACTAACTTTAATAGGGCTTATTTCTGGGTAACTGCACAGGATTGCAGCCTAAGTCAAAAGTGTGAGAGAGGGACTTAGGGCATTAATGTAGGAGACAAGAGAGCTACCTAACGCTGACAGGTTAGCAAGGGGGACAATGAATCAATAACTGTCAGAGAGAATCTGGATTTTTTTTCTTCCCTCATTTACTCTTTCTGATGTTTCTAGAAGGCAGGTGAAGAGGTCAAAGGTGAAGAAGAGGAGGAAGAAGAGGAAGAAGAAGAGGATGAAGTCTCCACTATGTCTGAAGGTTCAGAAGTGGCACAAGATTATGAGGCCAGCAACTACAGCAGACCTGGACTAGGCCAGGTGAATGGGGACTGTAAGGACAGCAAGCATGGTGGGAAAGAGGTCCCACCCAGCACTGCCCTCCCCAGAGACCTGCGCTCCCTTGAGGAGCAGCCCTTGAGCAAAGGATCAGAGCATCCCCACCATGAAGGAAATGAGCAATGTCATACAAAGGCCTCTTGGCCTGGAGAAAGTGCCTGTCACCATCTTGGGGGCAGCAAGAAAGATGCCAGCACCTATCAGCAGCCAGACAGAGCAGGTATGATGGGATGGGAAGGAAGAGGAAGGGGCAGCAGGCTAGGGAATTGTTGGCCAAGTTTGATTTTCCTGTAACAACACAAAAAACAATGCAAAAGATCCCAATTTTGAGGGAGGGGGAGACACCATTTGGGAAGAGAATAACCCATTTAGTTGGGCAAGTGGGAGTGGGTTTCTGAATAAGAAATAGGGGTTCCGTCCTAGGGTGCTCATAACATTGATTATTGTGTCTAGAAGTCCAAGGCTAGGTTAAAAGTAGTATCATTGCTGGGCAGCAAGAGAACAGGATTATGGGTAGGTGGCATTGCTAGAGCTGCACTCATGCTGTATGTGGCTTGGAGACTGACACTGGCTTGGCGTGTGGTATTCTTCCTTGCCGCAGAAGGACTCCAGCCGCCGAAAGACCTCACCCACAGTTTCACCCATGCAATTACCTTAAGACAGAATTAGACCTGTCCCCATTTCTCTTTCTTTCCCTCTCTCCAACCTTCCTGCAGTGTCACCAGCTGTTGCAGGTACTGAGCCCTCTGTGCCCTCATCTCCTGGGAGACCTGGCATCCAGGCAGATGGGAGACCATTCAGCTGCACGTAAGTTTTGAAGCTGCACCAAGAACTCTTGCTTAATAACCAGCTGTGATCCTCTACTACTACCTCCTGCTTTGGGAAATTAGAAAACAAGCAAGCAGAATTCCGTTAGGGATGAGTGCAGATTGATGACAAACAAAAGGAACAGAACTCGCTGCTCTTTTAGCTTATGTTGTGATTCTGGAAATGTAGCTGCCACCACTCACAACTGGTTCTTGATGGCAGTAGCCCCATGCCTTATAGGAACCTTATGAATCCGTAGGACTGACTCAAGGTGGGTTCTGTTCCCTCACTATTTGGATCCATGCACACACACTTTATATGCAAGTGTGGTGAGGTGTACCTATCTCCCTATGAAGCAAGAGGCCAAGAGATGCCTGTAGATCTGAACCCTCTTTTGCTCTCTCCTCCTAGCTCACTGAAGGAGAAGCATTCCGACCCAGTGGAATGGACTGTGAGTGACGTTGTGGATTATTTCACAGAAGCTGGGTTTGCTGAGCAAGCAACTGCCTTCCAAGAACAGGTGAGAAGAAGTCGTGGAGATTTGTTCCCAAACTGAAATTTCAGCGAAGAGCAATGTCCCATGAACAGTTTCAGCCCTATGTTTTATAGAGCAAGGCTTGGCAGAAGGTGTGCACCTTTGTTTCTGTGTGCTTGGGGGCTATTTATGCACAAGTAAAACACCAGATTGGGTTTGCACAGAGGTATATCAAAACATCAGTTGCTGTGGGGATTCCTTGCACATGCCCTCCCTCTACCTTTATTTTGTAAATTACAGTAGTGCTTACCAGGGATTGCCCTTGTTCACCCTGACCCACCAATGATTCAGACAGGCTGTCTACATTAACAAATAATAAGGACTGAACTTTCCATTGACCACTGTCAGCACTTTATTTTCATTTTAAAAATCTATGAACCATGTTTACGAGATGGTGAAACTCAAGACGCAGTTTGTCTAGAGGCTGTGCTCTCACAATCAGAACTGGACACCAACAATCTTGTAGAAGGCCCCTCTTGAGGCATGTGCTCGTGTGGCCAAAACATGGCTAGAGTGCTTTCAGACCACAGATCAGTGACTGCTGTTTTAATGTATGCTTGCATGGACACTCTTTTTGTTCACCCTTGCCCGCCTAGTGAGGTGGTTCCTGGGCCCGCCTGATATATGGAATTTGGCTCCTTCATCCTTCTCTTATGCAAGACTCTGCTTGACCCCATTAAACCTGCTGCTTCTATCAGTTCAGAGTACCTATGGCAGAAGCTGAACTTAGGTTTCAGTCGCACTTTGCAGGGATCTGCCCCTAGAATTGTACAGCTTGTGGGCCAGATGCTGTCCGTGGGCATCAGTTGGCTATCTCTGCCTTAGTGCCATCCTTCCGTATTTCTTACTCTACCTATGGGTGCCGCAGAGTGTTTTGTCTCGGTATTTCCTGTGTACCGTGTTCAGACAGGAAAAGCTCAAAAATCTTCTGCAGCTATTAAAAAAAGAGAAATTATCTTCATTTCTTGGCCTCTAGAAGTCTGAACAGTCTGAGGAGACTGTTAGAGGATTTATTTTTGGTATACTATTTGGTTGCTGGGCATTAAACCAGTGGAATTAGCTTAATTGTTTTCAGTATTTAATTATGTTGTAGACACTTTAAAAATTATCAGTTGACTCTTTGAGTAGAATAAAAATGTGCCTAAAAGCAAGGGGCAATTGCAGCCATCTAGATTATTTCTAGAGCATCTTGCCCCACACCTCCATCTCAGGAGAGAAAATGCTTTCTTAATTCCATGTTTAAGTCATCCAGGATTGAAGCTCTGCTTCTGCTTTCTAGAAAGAGAAACCTCTCTCCCTAATAGGAGGCCCATATGCCAGCTTTTCCCAACCTGGTTTTGGACTACACCTCCCAACATTCCTAACTATTGGCCATGCTGATTGGAGCTAGTGGGAGTTGTAGTCCATATTATCAGGCGGGTTCCATATGCCCCGGCACCCTCCCTGATGTGTTGTGTCTCCTTTGCTCCCCCTGCAGGAGATTGATGGGAAGTCTCTGCTGTTGATGCAGCGCACTGACGTGCTAACTGGCCTATCTATCCGTCTGGGACCTGCCCTCAAGATCTACGAGTATCACATCAAGGTGCTACAGCAGTGTCACTTTGAAGAGGATGAGGGCGACTCCTTCATGGGCTGAGGAGAATGGGCACGCCTTGTGAAAGTGGGGTGGGGGGAGAGAGAATGGGGACTCTGCCAACCGCTACTGTCTCACATATTTCGGCCTTCCTCTGCCTCCGTGAAAAAAAAAAAAAAAGGAAGAAGACAGCGGCTGTGTGGGAATGGGAGTGGCTGTGACCAGATCATGTGAGAGGAGGGAGGCAGAAATTATTATCCCAGCTTTGTGATTTCTCTTGCCCCAGTGGTTCAGAGATAGAAAAAAAAACAGGCTGGGAGGGCTGCAAACTCTTTCTTCTTCCGACCTGTCTGTGTTGCCTACCCCAAGCTTTTCACTTGCCATAGTGCATTGTTTCTTTTGGAAAAGGGTGGAGAGAGATGTGGTTTTGTTCCTCTTCCCAGCCTCAAGTTAATTGAAATAATTTGTGCTTCAGTGCCCGCCCCCCCAGCCAACCCCAGCTCCCACAGTAGCACTTGATGGTCCCGACTCCCTCATTGCTGTGATTGGCAAGACAAGGAGCCTGCTGGAGGTGTCAGGAGGTTTTAATCAAATACCTTTTTACTCTCTTTTCTGTTTGGGTAGGCTTTTCTTCCAATTTTCATGGTTGTTGCCCAGAGTCAACTGCTTTTTATTATTATAATTATAATTATTATTATTATTTTTCCTTCCCATTTTTAAAAAATATAAATATTTAAACTGAAAAACAACCCGATTGGTTTAGTATTCCCAGTCCTGTTAGCCCTCTAGAAGGAGTAACGGAAGAGCTAAAATGAATGTGTGTTTAAGGGATGAAAGTGTGTGTAAGAGAGCCTGAAATCCTGAATTCTGTGCTGTGCTCTAGGGGAATGTGTCATCTGTTGCTAGTCAAATGTTGGAGAGGAAAGATCTAGGAGTGGGTCGGAGTAGAATTCATTCTAACTAGCCCAAAGTTGGGAGTAGACCTGAGGTGTTCTGGCTCAACTTTCCGTATTGTAATCAACTGGGGTAAAGGTGCAGTAACCATTGCCCAATTACCCACAAGTCGAACATGAAAACATACACCAGCAGAGGACATGTACCTGTGTGCATATATTTGGTATTGGTGGCTCAACTAGTGCTCATAAGTAAGAGCTATAGCTTCGATCAGGTGGATAAATGTAAACGGATCTCCTCTTGTTAAAGCAAGCCAAGCCCATAAAAGTAGAATGCTTGTAGAGCAAGAGGTGGTGGTGGTGCAATGACCACAGTAATATTTGTTTTTTGCACAAGTCCAAGACCTGATGTAGAAGGAGCATCTTTCTAGGGCGCACTACACAAAATCTGAGCATTCTTGGAGGTTCTGAGGAAACACCGCACATTATCTGAGTAACCTGGTTGCATAAAAAACACCTGTTCCATAAATTAATTAGAAACTAGTTTCTCTTCCTTGATTTCCTAAAAATAACTTCAGGAACTGGAGGTTTGCTGACAATGCTGAGAATTCTTTATTGTAGGATTTTAGAGCATATATAGAACTTCATTTCCTAGTTCCTTGATTGGGAGCCATGATACATTATCAGATTTGAAACTTGATTTAGATTTGGAATGTAGACAGGTCATTCCCATAGTGCAAGTACACCTACCCTTATTGGTTGGGTCCCAGAAGCAGAACTGTACATGGTTAGAGACACATCCTCATACGCATGCACAGTTGGACAGGAGCACACTGAATTTATTTTCTCAATTTTTTTTTTTGAAAACATGAGGGCTAGAAACTTACTGTTTGAACTTTGAAAGTGGAGGTTCTCAATGTTGTAGCACAAAAGTGCCTCAGGGGCTTACATACCAGTTGCATGTCACCCCCTATTGCACTAGACCCTATTTTGTTCAGAGCTGGGAATAAAAACCAAGTTTTGGGGGTTCTGACATCTGTTCTCTTTGTTGGTAATCAGCTGTCCAAGAATGGTGGTAAGCAGTGATACACTGTACAACCCAGAGCAGGTGATACTCAGCTCTCTGGGGAGCATAAAGCAGCTGGACAGAAGGAGGACCGTTATTAATCTGCAGTGTAAACAGGTAGATTAGCATGGACAAGACTTCCTGTGCAGCGCTCTGGAAGTTCTGCTGGATGGGAGAGCATTATGCTGCATGTTTTAAGGCACAGTCCTATGCATGTTTGAATGCATATCACTGCCAGGATCACACAGTCCGTCATGCCAGACATGCATAGGAATGTGCACTTAAGCACCTCCCTACAGTGAAATATTTAAGACTCCTCAGCACAAGACTGAAAAAGTTTGTGAAAAGGCTGGTATGGTGTCATGATCATGCATCCTTTTTTCACAGACATAGCATAGCATAGTCTGATGGCTGATATACATGGTGCATCCTGTGATGATGACAACACACAGAAGATTTGTGCATGTCAGACTTGCCTTGTAACTGGTTGCCCAGTTCACAACCAAAGTCTTGAGAATGTGTCGAAAGATGGGCTCGACAAAGGATTACTAAGCTGGACATGTGTGGAATCAATACTTATTCAACATGAACTAAATCCACAGAAGATTCTTAACTTGCCATGGACACACTGAGTGAGTCTTCAGTGTTGGTTCTATGTGGCTCTCTAGCGAAGACAAAATAAACATCAGTGAATAGGAATTATTCTGGACCATCTAATGAGGAAGAAATAGCAGCATCTTAATGCTACAGCTGATCTTTTTACCCAATCACTTTGGATGAGTCTCAGTTCAACATAGGTTATTTATTTATTTATTGAATTTGTTTGGAAGCCACTTGATAGCATCACACTCTAGAGTTTAATTCAAACTATTTGAAGCTTAGTTTGGATGTGATACTGAAACTAGGATTTGGGGATGGAGCTGTAGGACCATGGACACCCTCTTACCTATGAATATGCATGGGTATGTGAGCACGTACACCCCTCTACTTGGGCTGGAAGTAACTTACCCTGGTTCAGTTGAATCAGAGGCAAATCACTGAACTCATTTTGAAAACATAATATTGACTAGGGAGAAGATCTGCTTCTAAAGCAAGATTAGATATCTGCAGAGTGTAATGTACACTTAGGTGGTGGAAGTGAGATGCCGTGTAGGAGGACATCTACAGCTAGCCAACCAGTTGAGTCTGTAGCTAAGGTACTCTTCCAGGTACTGTTCAGTCATAGCCTGGGTGTATGATGAGACATTACAGTGAAATGTGTGATATTCCATGAGCTTTCCCCTGGAAATAAAGATGCAACCCAAACCCATATTCCTATGAAAAAGAGAAGGGATTGGGGATATTTAGAAAGGAGTGCCCTTCTAACTTACTTAGTGTAACCATCCAGCTCTGTTTTATATTTCTTGTGGAATAAGATACTTCCCTTGCTAGGGAACAACATGGGATGAACTTGCCTTGCCTTTAGGACAGAAGGTTCCATCTTGCACATGTGAGCTCAGAATTAATTTTCTTTCAGTTTAAGAGCGCTTACTCCCATGCAAGTGTGCATGAGAGCTCAGCCTATCAGTAGCTTGACCTTAACTATGTGCACTGCTGAATATCCTCTGTTGTTAGGTGTGCTGTCTTTGGCTACTCAGCTGAGGCACTTACCTTCACTACTTTGATTGCTAGTACAATTTAGAAAGAAATGAACAGTGGAGTACTTGGAATTTGACAGGGAAACTACAGATACAGGGAAACTCATTCAGCTAGTGGCACACCAGTGGTACTGTGATAATGCCTGTGGCCAGTTGTCCCAGCAGACAGCAGGTCATTTATGTATCAGAGCAAGTACTCATGTTCACGACTTGTGCTTGATGGGAAGAACTGATGTGTTGTTCGGCAGCCATATGCATACACACAAGAGGCAACCCCGTTGGGTGAGGGGTTTAAATATCCTATGAGGAAAGGTTAAAGCAATTGGAAAGTGCTTTTAATTGGGGGGGAGGGGGGATGAATACAACATGGTATGGGGACAGATTACTTCCCCAGCATCCCAAAGTACTTCTTAGAGTGAGCCAATTATATTGACTGGCAATAGATTAAGGATGTGTAAAAGAGAAGTACTTTGTCATATACTACATAACTCATGATATATGGAAGATATGGTGATAGGCACAGGTTTCATGAAGCCTAGGTTATCCTAGTAATCCTTAACAACTAAACTGAACCTTCTGATTTTGAGGCAGAATCCCAGGTGCTTGGGGCTGAAAAGTGCAATGGGGAAGGTCTAGGGAACAACTGGAGGCCTCAGACTTGCCCCTGAGGAAAATAAAAAGCTAAAATGGATTGATCTTTGAGTCAGCAGAACGCTCACAGTCATCTCTCAGTGACTTTAAAAATTACAGTAAGAGGACTAATTCCTTCTCTAAGAAAACCTACAATGAAATGAAGCAGTGCTGTAGTCTTTAATAGTGCATGAGATGGGTTCTGGTTCCAACTGACTTATCAGTAATATTAATGTCGTCATGATGATCCATTCCGCATACGACATTTCTAGATGAGCTTCAAGTTTACAGTTGGGCTAGGTTGACATGCCACAATATGCCATGGTGGGATGTGTGCCTTGTTTGTGCCAGTCCCAGCCCTGTATGGGTTGTTAACCAGCCGCAAGCCACTCCAAAAATCTATGGCTTGTTACACCGTTGCCGAGAGTGACTTCCTCTTAGTACGGCATGTGAACATGGCAGCATGACTGTTCGCAGGTTCTCAAATCAGGCAACAAAGCAGCTTGGCAAGAGCAGCAAAAAGCCCAGCCTTGCCTTGGAATCTTGCTAATCTCTCCTCAGTGCTGTGCCCTTTCACCAGTACCAAAAACTGGCACTGGGAAATGTCTGTACTTCCATCATAATTTTTGATGGGGTACTTCACAGGTATGTGAAGCACTTCATAATGTTTAATTCTTATTTTGCATGGTCCTCTGCAGATCTGCATGTCCCCTATGCATAGTCAGTATTAGTACAGTCTTGTCAATTTCCACATGAATTACCTACTTCATTTTGGCACTTCCTGCAACAGCTGTCAGTTTATGTGAAAGGAAGTCCAGAAGCAGAGTAATTGACAAAAATACTGTACAAAGCAGACTGTACAAAGGGGACAAGTGAATCTACATACCTGTGAAGGACTAGGGAATCCAATTAAAAATTATAAATTCATTTGCACACTTGAGAAGGACCCAAAAAGTGGGGGGGGCGGTTTCAAATGAGAAGAGGTCATAATCAGGAAGTCAGGGAAGGCAGTAAATTCCCACTTGTAATGAAGGATGACACTCGCATCTTCAGCTGACCCTTGCTGGTTTTCTCTCCAGCTCTGGTGCTTCTCTCCCCAAATTCTGAAGTTGCTGGATGAATGGGATAAAGCCTTTGTGGCTTTCAGGTGTAATTACACTTAAACTCCTGCCGTGATTGCACCTGTTTAGCCCAACAGCTCAAGACCTAATACACCAAGAAAAAAATACAAGTGAGATTTCAGCACAGAAGGGATATTGATTGATTCTGCCGAAGAAAGTAAGTAGCAGCAAACACGTGTGTGCAACTGTGCACTTGCAAATGACAGAATCAAAATATATTTGCGTACTTCCAAGGCACTGAAAAATAGATTTTAAAAGTTGCAAATAGGAAAAAAAATGCAAAGATAATAGTTATTGGAATAGAGCTGGAAGTCACAAGATCCCATCCGTGGGGAAGGATGGAAGTGGGGGATGTGGCACAAATGCCCATTGGATACCTTCTGGGAGTGGAGGAGAACTGAGGAGGAAACAAGCCACAGAGCACTCAATCATCTGCCCGGAGTAATGTGGGCGACCTAGAGAACAATTAACCCATTGCAGCTTGTGATGTGCAAACCATCTCTCGTCCCTTCGGTTTGAGAAGCGATTGTCAATTGCTCTTTATGCGCAAATGATACTTGCCTTTAGTAACCTATTCCAACATACTGGGGAGGGCTGCATGGAATGGCTGAGGGTTTTGTATAGATGATAATGAGTAACTCTTGGCCTCCATGAAGTAATTCATTTGATAAGCTGCTATACCACAGTACTTGCTTGTTGTGGGAGCCTGATTTTATTCTCAAGCGTAAAAACCAGAGTCTGTAGGGCCTGCCTCCAGGTGATTCACAAGATAATTGGTGCTAAGTTTTAGACACAATTTGGAAACTTTTAAATATACTTCAACCAAAACCGGACCAGCTTGAAGACAGTCGAAATGTTCACGTTTGAATGACTTTCAAAGTCAGTAGATCTCATTTAATGGTTTGCTCTGGCAACATCCTCATCCTGTGATAGCAGTACAGCAGGAGCTATCCAGCAGTCCTACCCCTATACAGACACTACTACACAAATAAAATTTGGTTCTTGGGATTCTGCAGAGTTCACTGCATCCCCTCTCACAGAAGGCAACAGTCCACTCTTGGTTCACAGGCACAGCGATTGCTGCAGTACCATTTAGTTAAGAAAGGTGGAGCTGGTGTGTTGCGCAGCAAGGACCCTTTGACACTGCCCACCACACTTGAGTACACAAATGGCAGCCATGTTTGCCCCAACTGGGGTGAGGTAGAGAGAGTCACAGGAAGACACTTTCGCACTCATTGAAGGTGCAAATGGCAGCCTTCTCCAGCCTGCTGGCCTCCAAACATGTCGGATTACAGCCCCCATTTCCCCGGTCAGCATTGGCCATGCTAGATGGGCATTGAAATCCATCATATCCACAGAGCACCAGTTGGAGAAGGCTGCTCTTTGAAACTCCTCATCTTGATCACAGAAGGAGCCCCTGCAAAGAATAAAACCCGTGCCACATACTCCAACTTTGTCTTCAAGTGATAAGCTTTTTCCTATTTTGTTGGAGTTGAGAGAGACTAGCTAAAAGTGGGCAAGAAACAGGTACACACAGAGATACATGCACTGTTGTAGAACCTGTGCATGTTTCAATTCTCTGACAGGTTTCTCATCCAACAGTAGTACTACATACTGCAGTATGTTGTCTGAAAATGCAGTAACTTGGCATTTAATACTTAAGTGAATCTGCCAGAGATGATTATCCTGCCCAACTTCAGTTAAGGTCAAGGGAGCCTAACCCATAACAAGCAAGATGAAGACTGAATCTATTCCCAACTTCCAACAGAATCCGTAGAGAACATACTGCTACAACAGCCCCCAAACCCAGTGCTTTCTTGTTTTAAAAGATGGACAAGAGAAGGAACTCAAGATCTTTATTTAAAAAACTAAGAAAAATCTACCATATCACTAACAATGTGCTAATTACAAAAGCAGTCGTACACCCAGATTGAGACTTTGTTACACAAGCTCCGTTTCCAATTATTTTACTGCACAAGGCATGGATCTTCCCAGTAATTAAGGAAGACACTTCCCAGCCCCTCTGTGCAATGCAGGTGTGGTAAGGACAGATGAAACCCTTTGGGGATAAACCTACGTTCCAGGATCCAGCCTCAGCTTTCAGGTGGAGCAGCAAAGGCTACAGCAATTGTAATTTCCACACAGCTGTGGTGAGAGGAAAGGGGCAGCCTAAAAAAGAAACATCACTGATGAGCACAGCATCCCATGGCTGGCATGTGAATCCTTCATCCAACACACATGAGCAAACTCCACAGCTCCCTTCTGAGAACAAAAGGATTCAGCTTTGTATCTCAAGAGCTGCTCCAATAGAAGTCTATCTAAAATGCTAAGCTGCATTTGCCCATAACAAAAGCAGGGAATGGCACACCTGTACCCTCAGTTGAAAGAGCTGGTGCAAAGGCCCAAAAGGCAGCTGCCATGCCTGTACGTGGGCGAAGGGTGGCTGGCTCTGACACAGGTGTGAGAGAGGCCGGCTGCATCAGCAGCAGGACTTTCCTTTCCAGGTTGCTGTATTTTGGCAGCCTCGGCAGCTTGGCCTCCCAGAAAACTGTTCTCTACACGAGAACCCCCAGGCTGCCTGTTTACCCTTCCCCTTTCCACTTTGCAGGATGTCCATTTCCCCCTGCTTTGGGGCTCAAGGGCTCGTCCAGCCCCTGAACAGGTCATGCCAGTGTACACTGTGTCTCCCAACAGACGAACTGTCTTGGCAATGGGCAGGAGACGTGGATCAACCAGCTCTTGAAAAAGAGAGGGCGACATGCATTTAAAAGATAATAGGCATTTCCTCTTTGCTTGCAGATGGCCCTTCTGCCACTGACAGAGTAGTTTCACATGCTACTCCCTCTCCTTTCAAAGAAAGAGAAACAACTTTCCCCAAGAGCAAGCCGTTTACTTCGAGAATATGGGCAAGGGGCAATTTGAGCAGCTTCTGCCAGCCTGGGCGGCCTTCTGTAACAGGAATCAGCAATAAATCCATGCAGCCCTCCGAGGCTGATAGCAGCTCTGTCAGATTGATTGTTCACTTACTGCTGCGGGGAAGCCTCCAGTACACAAAAGAAAAAGCAACATTCTGTTTACCAGAAAGAGCATGGAAGGCTTTTGGCTTTTGCCAAGTTTAACAGGCAATAATATTTGGAATTTGCTTGAATAAGCAACCGGATTGATTATGTGTGGCCTTCTGCTGTTAGAAAGAAATTCCGATGTGGCTGAAATGTAGAGGGCCAAGAGCTCTACTAATGCAACAAGCACTCAAGAGGGAGCGTGTCCTTCCTCGCAAGGGGCAAAAATAGAGCTCACAAGTGCTCAACCACTAGACTACGTAAAAACCAACAGACCAATCACTGCAGGTCGTGTCATTAGCTGCCCGAGAGGTAGGGGATGAGGGAGACATCCCTAGTCGGCTAAGGACTGATGACTAAGGCATCAACGAGGCAACTGGCTCAAGCCAGAGAGAAGATCCAGAAGGGCCACCAGGAGGATTAACTTCGTGGAGCATTCAGTGGAAGGTCTCTACTTCCACCACAGTCCAGTCCCCATGAGGGGATGACACGTCCTCCGGGGAGAAGCTCGTCACAGAAGTGATGCTGGCCCGCGACTCATCCAACGGGGAGATCAGTTCTGTCCATTTGCTGATCTCCGCGTCACTGCTGACTGCCCCCTTCCCACCGACAGCCCCAGGCGCCTCCGCTGAGAAGAGCAGCGTCCGGCTGATGAGCTGCTGCACGACTGTGGCCTGGATGTTCCCTAGGTGAAGAGCCTGCTCTCGGGAGGTGGCACGCACACAGTGACTCCCATCCTCTTCGTCTGGGCCAGGCGTCTCAGCACCACTTTCCACTTCATAGATAGTGGAGAGGATCTCTGTTGGGCATGGTCCCCAGGGGAAAGGCATGCCGGCCCCATTGACACCTACAAACAGGGCAAGGAGCTTGGGTTGGAAAGAGCAGCCCTCAGAGGGGGTGGGGGTGGGGCAGACAGAGAGAGGAAGTGACAGACAAGAACGGGGGGAGAGGCCGGGTTCGTTAAGGAGGTTTCAAGATGCTTCTCAGACTACAAAGAACTGCATTCTGGTGTTGGGGTCGCTCCACAGAAGCAAGTTTTCATGCCCGACTGACTGATGTGGCGCATTCAAATAATGGATTCTGAAGTGGGTTCAGCTCTCCTCAGGCCTTCTTCCCCAGCGATGGCTGGTTCTGGCGTGCACGGACCTTCCCCAGCCAGGTCCATGCAAAACCCCACCTTTGCTGTCGCCAGGAGCCAGATCCACATGTGAAACTCGCTGGGGCAGCAGGATGTGAACCCTGTTCCCCCCGGCCCAGTAGGTCTACCGCCTTCTCTGTGTTGAGCCTGCACTGGTCACTAAAGGGGACCCTACAGCCCTACAACCACTGCTGAAGCACTGCCCCCATGCAGGTCTCTGATTCAATGCAATCACGTGTCACATTCCACAGGCGAAACATCATTGCAGCATGTCTGCCCAGATCAGCAACAGTCAGCTTCATCGAATCAGCCTCTGCTAAGTGGAAGCTGTTGGCCAGCTAGTCCAACCCCTGGTTCAGTCCAGGGAACCCAAAGCAGCCCAACGGCTGGCTGCCCCGCCTCTGCTTGAGGAGCTCCAGCAAGCGAGATGCCGCTGCCAGCATCCGTCCAGGAAATTAGTGGCCCTGTCAGACGGCTCTCTCTTCTAATGTGTGTCTCCTGATATTCAAACAAAAAAAATCTCCCCTCCCATGATGAAGGCCTTGTCCTGCCCCTTACACCAGCTGGGAACAAAACTGTGCCCCCACCTCCTGTTTACCAGCTGCACTGAGAGAGGCTGGTTCAGACCACAATGCTTCTTGTCCTTGTTAAGAGGTGAGCAAGTTTAGGGGAGCCGTCTGCAAAGCCAGCCTGAGCTTTTGGGTGGATTGTACCCTGCTATTTCTTCACCTTCACCACCAGCAGCAGCACGTCTCTCTCCTGAAGGCACGACAGGATCCCACACACAAGGAAGAAGTGAAAGTATAATGGCACGCGGGGATCTACCTAGAGACAACTTTGCCAAAGGAGGAATCTCAAGGAAAGGGAAAGTTGTAAACCTATGAGAGGCAACTACAAGATTCAAGGATGGGGAGTGTGTATATTCTGCGGAGGGATCCACATTCTACATGTCACGCAAATCTGCAAATATTTTCCCATTTTGCTTCTGCCAATGGCCCACTTCAGATGCCTCAACCACCCCTCCCGTCAAGAGTGCATGTTACGATTCTTCTGGGTTATTGAGCAACACAGCACAGAAGCCACTTCCTGACAACAGGAAGTTACGTTCTGTTCCTATCACCCAAATGCTTGAGAAGTCTGTGGGCAGTGCACGGTGAGATCTCAGGAAGCTGCTCATTACAGCCAGAATTGATTAGGGACCTACCCAGGTCTCCTGGAAAAACAAGACAGGCCAGATCAGATAGACAAAAGTGATGCTTTATTTGACATGTCGAAAGGCTAGGAAGTTTACCCTTCTCAGAAACACGCTAAAATACACACAGCTCCCCCCTGAGGAAGTCTGTAAAGGGTCGAGGGGAAAGATCTCAAACACACAGAGACAGGAGTAGGCCTGTTTGGCGAGAGACACAGATGGGACAGATACAGATGGAGGGAGGGAGGGAGGGAAGGAGGGAGGGAGGGGCCCTTCTCCCTTCCCTGCAGGACACTATTGCACATGGGGAGAGGCTGTAGTTTGGCACTTGGACAGAGACAAGGCAGGGTCCTCTATACATTACCTGCAGCCAGGCTATGAGGGGCCAGGAGAGGCTGGGGGGAATCTTCATCCTGCCTTCCAATCTTCTGGGGAGCAGGGGGGACTTGCAGGGGGTGGTCCCAATCCACGGGGATCTTGCTGCTGGTCTCTCTGGGGAGCTGGTCCTTGCTGCCCTCCGTGGAGTGCTCCTCACTCTCCAGGGAAGAGAGGCCGGGGCTCTTGGCACAGCTGTCGGTCGAATGGAGGTGGAAGGCACCAAACACGTCGCACGAGGCAGCGGAGTTGGTGGAGGCAGGTGTCTCGGTGCCGGCATCGCCAGAACCAGGCTCATCCGATCCCTCCACTGAATGGGGCAAGGGGGGCTGGCTGGGCGGGGATGCCGACAGGCACACCGCCGCAGAGAAGTTGGCGTCCTTCAGGAGGTCTACGTCCAATTCTGTCTCCTCCTCTGAGGACACGGTCGGCTCTGTGGGTGGGTCTCCAAGAACTTCATCCGCCGGCAGGGTCTCTGCCTCATCGTCACCCTTCTCCATGTGGATGCCCAGGTCCAGCTCACCAGGAAGGTCCTCCAGGGGACTCAGGGGCTGGTGGCAGGGCTCCTCCAGCTTCTCGTCTGACTTGGACTCCACGCCTGAGCTGCTGTCGTACTCCCGCAGCTCCTCCGGGGTGCTGGTCTCACTGCTGCTCTTGCCAGCCAGATCGGGGCCACTCAGGGTGCTGGATCTGGAAGAGGAGCTCCCCCTCTCAGGGGAGCGGTTCTGCAGCACTGCACTGCTGAGCTCCGGCCCCAGCTCTTCGGCCAGCTGAGGGGGCTGCTCCTGTAACAACGGCAGGGTCCTTAGGGGCAGGCTCTGCGGTTTAGATACAGACCCTGGAGCAAAGCCACCACTGTCCCCAGGGGTGATCTCCTCTGAGGAAGGGAGCAGGAGAGCTGGAACATGACATCCAGGAGCCGCCTCCAGGTGCTCTGGGTGGCTCCCACACACCTCTGGGGTCAGTGCCTCAGCATCGGGGCCTTCCGAGCTGGGGTGTTCACCAGGAGAGCTGGACTGGTGCTCAACATGGCCTACGAAGGGCTCTCCATCCCCCTCTGCAGGGAGCGAGGCTGCAGCTATAGGGATGGAGGGGGAAGCCTGGTCCTGAATTAGCTGCTCAACTGCAGAACTCTCTGCCTCCTGCAGGTCCTCCACCAGCTCTTTGCCAGCCGCGGGAGCAGCCGCCTCCTGTGTAACCTGGCCACCTTCAGCTGCGAGGTCTAGGGGGCTCCTCAGTCCTTCATCCTCTGTCTCCAGAGATGCCGTGTCCTCCCTTGAGCTCCAAGACAGGTCTGCTGCCTTTTCATTCTCAATGCTATCCCTGCCAGCATGTGCCCCTGCCAGAGGCCCAGCTGCTGCTTCCAGGGGAGGTGCTACCTGCCTGGCTGATGGAGGTAGCTCTGCTTGGAGCGGGGGCTCCTGCGGTGCCTCTGCAGGCAGTGCTGGGAGCTTAATAGCCTGGGCCTCCTCAAGCAATGCAGCCTTTGAGACCGAGGAGCCGGGAGAGGGAAGCCCCTCTGCACAGCTTAGCATGAGGCCATTTTCCATATTTGGCCTTGGGGAGTGCTCAGCTGACGGGGAGGCAGGCAGATGGTGAAGGTCTGTGCACGGTCTGTCAGCGGCAGGCAGCAGGCCTGGCTGCTCCACCACCACTGGAACATCAAGGTGTGGCAGCGCTTGTTCTCCCGAGCAATCGGCCCCTGTGCCATCCCCACCAGACCACAGGCATTCTGGTACAGGAGCCTGGGGAAAGAGCTCCAGACAAATTGGGGAGGCCACTTTACAAGGGCGAGCCATCTCCAAATGCTCTGTTTCATCAGCACCACCACTGCCACCACCAGGGGGTTCTTGGACCTGAGGAGTGGCAGCAATGGGAGACATCCAATTAGGAGAGGAGACCTCTGCAACTAGGCAGCCTGGAGAGCTCAAGGATGCTTCATGCTTTGCTGGAGACAGCACTTCAGGTTCTGTCAAGCTGATCTGCTCAGCCACTTCTTCCCCTTCCAAGAGGCTCGCTTCCGTTTGCTCAGTCTCCAGGGCTGCCCCCCTGGCGGTCTCAGACTCTGCCTCCTTGGAGAGTGGCTGGTCAGTCTCTAACTTTGTTGTAAGCTCCATTTTGTCCAGAGGCCTTGGAGCCTCTATAGAAATACTTTCTGCTTCCCTGGTGGTTACCTTGGTGTTCCCATCTTTGGAAGCTTCCTTCTGAAGTTTAATCTGAATGGAGGCCACCTCTTGGCTTGGAAGGGCATCTTTCTTCAGAAGTTTTTTGCCTGGGCTGCCCCCTGCAGTGGGGACCTTGTGGGCTAAAGGCCTTTGTGAAGTGGCAGGATGGACATTCCCACCTGCTGTCTTGGCAGGAATTCGAGGCTTTGTGGGCTCTGAAAACCTCTTGGATGAAAGCTTGGTATTCCCAGAGGGAGCAACATTCCTCTGTCCAAGGTTTTGGTCAGACTGTGATTTGCTGCCTAAGACTTTGGGTTGCTTTGGGACAGATGGCACCTTCACAATGGGGGATGAGCCTGCAGTCTTGGCCTTAGTGATGGTGGCTCCCTTGGAAGCATCTGGAACGACAAATAACATCTTCAGTTGTGTGCACGGACTAGAAAAGCCAAGCTTCATGCAGCATCTCTGACACACGGGGATCCTCAAGCAGCTGCAATGCAACTTCAAGGCCCTAATATTGGTCATATTCCCTAACATTCCGACACAATGTTCTCCTTATCAGACCTGCTCACTGGTATGATAGCACGCCTTGTGCCTGCCTAAACCTGTGCGGGAAGCACTCTCTAAGCTCTCCGTATCATTCTTCAAGGGCACACCACAATGTCCCACGCCTGAGATGCACATAAGGCTCTGAACCTGGAGGCATGCTTGCATCCTGCAAGGGAGCGAGGCACAGCAGTGGCAAGCTCTGCTGCCACATCTTGCACTATCCGTTACATCTAGATGGCCACTTCTGGCTGGCTGGCTGAATTGCCAGAGGGAGAGGGGCAGGATGGGGCACCTGGTGCAAGCCATTCGCCCCAGCCTCCTTCCGCCCCTGGCTCTGGGCATACCTCTGTTCCACCTCTCCAACTTCCACTGCGGTCCTTCCTACACAAGCTGTGTGGGGCAAGGGCTCTGCCTTCTATGCTACAACTCTGAGGCTCCAGGACCTCGGACTGGGGCCCTGAATATTCCTATATCTCCTCAGACAACATTAAGAGGCCATAGGATTGCATCTTAAGCAATTTATTTGTATGCATACCTGATTAAATCATTCTTACTCCCAACTATATATTTCTAAGCTTCCTCGGAAAACTGAATTTTCCCGTTAATGCTTTACAAAGTTCAATGTTTTCACAAGCTACATGTGGTACACATGACTATGTTATGTTACATCCAGACATCAAACAATCTCCCCAACAAACTCTACCTGGCACCAACTTGGTTATCTTTTTGGTGCCAGGTTAAGACCTTTCCCTTTGCTCAGGGATTTGGCAGTATAGAATGAGGCACAAATCAGGTCCCGGATTCTTCTTGAATGCTGTTTGTTTAGATAAATGTTTTAAATTGTTTAGTTATATGCTTCCTTCTGTGATTGATGTCTGGAAGTAAATGGTTAGTAGTAAATGTTTTTACACCATGTATAATGCATTTTCATGTTTTTAATCATTGTAAACTGAGCTTAAACTATTGGGAAGTAAACAAATATAATAACTGAATACCTCTTTGGGTAACCAGAGCATTTTTCTGATGCTGCACTGCTACAGCTTGACCAGCAGGTGGTGCTGTCTGCTTAGCTTTGCTCACACTTTTGTCACTTGCTGGTGTTCTGTTTAGTGCTGAGGAAGTGGCATTCTTTGACCCTGGTAACCAAGTCCTGAAACAGAGAAAAAAGACTTATGCAAGTGGGACGAGAGATGCCTGCCTTATTTAGCAGAATGAATGCAATGCTGCAGTCACCGGACAACCACACGCGCACCACCAAATACATTCCCTTTTCAGCAAATGCACTGAAATGGCAGCACCCTCCCCTTCTATCTGATGCCAGTTTCCATGTATCTCATTAGGCGCAGCATGTGCTCAGTCTGCGATGGGGGAAAAAGTTATGGCCAGTGTCTTGGTCTTGAAGTGTCGCTTGGCTTTTGCTACGGGCAGCCTCCAAAGCAAGCAGAGTCTGATCCTGTTGCTGAGCCAATGGTCAGCCAATGCCGGGTAGTGTAGACTTTCATTGGGTGAAAGGGCTGAGTGTGTGTGTAACTGGGGAGAACAAGTATGCTAGTTGAGAGGAAACCAGGATGCAAATGTGATAAAACATAAAAGGCAGTGTACTTTGTCACCCCCTAGCTAGACCCTCTAACAAGGCACCACTCTGCACCTCAGAAGACTAACGAAGACCGCTAACAGGTCAGGATTTGCAAATGAAATAAAATACCAAGCCTTGGCTGGTGCATCAGTAAGTAGTAAGAAAAAGAGCCACTAACATACCTGGATGGTTTTGTCTGTTCAGCTCTCTTGGGCTTTGTGGCAGTTGTCTTTGGTGCTGGGAAAAAACCAAACAAGAGACTTGGCTTAATCAACAGCATTAACGGAGCTCTGAACAAACTGTCAAAAGGGATAAGGCTGAACAAAAGAGCTATCTAGCTGCAGCAGAGGCTCCTGAAACCTCATCTGCCTCTGAAGATGCAAGCTTGGCCTGGCAGTGAGAGGGAGGCCTGGGCACACGATTTGCATGTCCACAATGGGAAGGGAAGGGCAGAATTTATCACAGCAGGAAACCGAGCTTTTGTTTTGCAGAAAGTAGAGATTCCCATCCCTACTGCTGTGGGAGTTAAAGCTTAGAAGTACTGCCTAATGACACTTCTGAGATCTAGAAAGACGCCCAAATAGACTAATGATTTGGGGAAAGCAGATCTGCCAGTTATCTTCATTGCCCTGTGCGCTTCCAAATAATATGTGGAAAGAGCAAATGCAGTCCATAGTGCAAAATCTTCCTTTCTGTGCACAACATGGATGTGCAAAAGGCACTGTTAGTAAAGCTGCTGCATTAATTTGCCTCGATCCCTAAGGCTTCCCTAACTGAGTGGCACCAGGAACGCAGAATGCTCACAGAACGCGCAAGCGGGCCAGGATCGTGCCATTAGGTCTGTGCTGAATGATGACATGGAGCAGGCGTACCTGAAGCTGACTGCACTGACAGCCCCTTCGTGGGGTTTTGCTGCCCCACCTTGTCCAGGCCAATCTTTTCTGAAGTCTTCTGCCCACCGGCCCTGTCCCCGGCCACCTTTTTTGTGCTCACGCCAGCAGATGTGTTGGTGGCCCCGCCAGCCTTGGGCACTTGCTGCCTCAGCTGCAACGCACCGGCCTTCCGGGCTGTTCCGTTGCTGAGCATTTTGGGAGTGCTGCAAGGACCCGACAGAGGGCGGGAGGCTGCTGGCTGCTTCCGGCTGGGGGCACCCGGCTGAGGGTTCTTGCTGGGTTTCTGCTTTGCAGCCGCTGGTGCTGCGCTGGCCATTGCCACGCCGTTTGCCTGGGATGCTGGGTCTCCACTAGCAGCGGCTTTGTCCGCCATCTTCACACCCACAGAGGCTGCATAAACCAGCCGCCTCCCCTTCAGCGGCTTGGCAAGTTACAGTGCTCCGTGTTCACTCTGACCTGCAAGAGAGGAACACTGCCATGATGCAACCCACCCTTTGCAGGGATCCCCCAGTCAGACGCTGCAGAGACTGATCAGCCCTTAGCAACGCCCCCCCCCCCCCCCCCACACACACTATCATCTTCACTAAACCTAGATGCAATGCAATGCAATGCAAGAACAATGCAAACAGCGTGGAAGATACGCACAACGAAACAAGCACATCCAGCCATTGCATCAGACTACCTTCAGCTTGTCATGTGTGTTTAAAGGGGGAATTACCAATTATATCTTGTATCATAGTATATGTAGCAGCAAAACTCCTTGAAAATCAATGTATTACAAAGCTCATCTCCTAAGAAAGCCCAGATCACGGCTCAGCTGGCTTCGTTGGGAGCCTGATTCAACTTCCCGTGGTATTGCATCACCAGCCTATCAGTAAAACACGGAAGAGCAACTTCTTGTTCGGTTCCACCATTCTCATGAACACTGCTCTGTGGATCATACCACTCTTCCGGCTAAGGGCCCAAACCTTCCACCCTAACCAGGATGCCACCAAGCCTAAATGCAACTCTACATAAACCGTCCTTGCCCTGGCACCTTCCAGAGGCTTTGGACTACAACTCCCATTACTGACTGTTGGCCATGCTGGCTGAGGTGGATGGGAGTTACAGTCCAAAACCTCTAGGGAGCACCGGGCTGGGAAAGGCTGCTCTATAAACAGCTTTGCAATATAAAGATACTTTATTTACAGAATTTGTTTACCAATTCTGTAAATAAAGCTTCTTTGGCTTGCAAAGGTAGCTGCAGACCGCCCTTTCCACTCACCATGGAACACTCCAGATGGGGAAGTGGGAAGAGTGAAGCCACATGCACCATCAGAGAAGAAATGCTCCACCAGCACGCTCTGGTCTCGCTTCTCACCTGGCTTCTTTGAGGAAGGTAAGGTGGCAGGAGCTGGTCAAGCTCCTATCAAGCATACCTTGATAGGACTCCTAAATAAGGACAGGGCAGCCTTCACCAATCCAGACGTTCTCGACGGCAACTTCCATCGCCTCAGCCTGCATGGCCAATGACAGGTTGAGGCAAGGGTCTCCGAGGTGCCAATTCCTATGAACTACTAAGAGGCATTTAAGAGGTCACAGTACAGAAACATGCAAGGTTCCCATTTGATCCCGGAGAAAATGCTGTACCGCAAACCTGAAGTCATTCATATTACCATACCCTTTGGTATTGGAACCAAGATGGACAAGGTCTTCCATTTAAAACCTGCTTGGCACAAGCAAAGTGTGGGATCTGTCTTCTTAGCTTTGGGTTTTGTTTTTGATTGGCTGAAGTTTGCTCAACACCTTCGCTGAAACGTGAAGAGAGACTCAAAAATGTACAGGGAGGTCTGTGGTGCGTGATGAGAAGAGGGAAACAATTCAGCTAAATGCATCCTCTTAAACACAACTACTTGGCATCTATTTGATGTACTCAGAAGGTCTGATATCCAAGTTGAAGGATTCAGAATCAAGAGGGGCTGAAGATCTTCTATAAGGCTATGGATTAAATGATGGCAGTTATCCCTAATGCCAGTTAGAGAAAGACGGGTTGCTTCCCTGTAGCTGTTGGCCTTTGAGTGGCCACCTATGCATTCACACATATGGGCTTTGTGCCTGCTGTCAGGAAGCTTCTATAACGAAATGCTCATTTGGCAGGGGCCCTCCCACTTCCTGTTCCCAGGCAGCATGGGGAGGGTCTACCCAGAGGGCCCAAAGCCTGCTGGCACGGTGAGCGGATGGGATGGCCTCTGGGAAGGCCACCTTCCAGGGCAGGAGGTGCAGGTCTGTTGCAGCCAGGCGGAGGCTCTTGCGCATCACATGGGCAGTGTGGGTGACGGTCAAGCAGGTGCCAGAGCATAGTAACCCAGACGCGCCCCTGGTCTGTGGCGAGGGTGACTGTAGGCTCTGGGCAAAGGAAGCTGATGCCTGCTGCTAGACTGCATAAGGTGCTCCACCACGGCAGGTGGTTCCAAACAGCCATTCCGAAAGGTGCTGCGAGGGTCATCCTCTACATGGCAGGTGGGGGCGAACCACAACTGCAGAGGTCTCACCTGCAGTCTGGCAAAGCGGACCACCACCACTGTGGTGGCCATGAGGCCCAGGGGCGCCTGCCTCTCGCGAGTCATGGCAGCCTCTGGTACTGAGGTCAGCTGCCCAGTTGCACGGGGCTGCTGCTCTGGGCTCTGGGAGGAGAGCTTGCACCGAGATCAAGGCAAGGCGGCCCCTGTGAAGAGAATGGGCTGGGAAGGAGCAGGAAGGGATTTATCCTGATCTAAGCACTGCAGGAGCGAGCAGGTGCTGCAGACCGAGCATCGACATTCTGTCCTAGATGGGGCCACCAAGAGTGCGTCATCCAGGTAGGGCAGGACCTGCAATCCCTGGGGTCGGAGGTGTGCCAGATCACCACCATGCATTTTGTGACGCCCCTGGGGACAATGGAGAGGCAGAATGGGAGAAATGAAAATGGGAATGCCTCCTCCCCAATTAGGAAGCATAGGAAATGTCTGTAATCACAGTCGATGCTGACAGAGAAATAGGCCTCTTTGAGGTCAGTGGAGGCGAACTAGGGTACCTGCTGCAATAAGGGTGGGGGGCTGCTCTGCTGGGAGACTATTCTGAACTTCCTGGGTGTGAGGAAGCAGTTGACACCTCTGAGGTCTAGGATCAGCCTGAGTCCCCTGCCCCATGTGAGCACCGTAAACCATCGAGAGCAACAACCCCTGCGGCAGTTGGAGCACTCTCACAATAGGCCCCTTGGAGAGTAACGCACTGACCTCCCATGGCAGTGCTGCTGCCTCTAACTGCACTGAGAGGCAGGAGGGTGTTGAATTAAATCCTGCAGCCAGCTTCCATGATGGACAAGACCCATGAGTCTGATGCTATCACTTCCCAAGCAAGCAAGAAATCAGGCGAGACACCAATCAAAGGCGGTGTGGGAAGGAATCCTGGTGTTGGCCGAGAGCCAGGGCTGGTGTTGAGCAGCTGCCAAAGGGTGGCACTGGCTGGACTTTGAGGGTGGGGACTGGTAGGCGGCCGGCTTCCGTGTTGGTCCAGCACTGAGGGTCGATGTTGGCGGCGCTTGGCATCCGTGTCACAGCACCTGTCGTCTCAGTGCCAGGATGTGGCATCGGTCCAGTACTGTGGCTTGTGGCCTCTGTTGCTGGAGGATCGGACCAGTCCCCAGAGGAGGAGGATGCTGGGGACCACTTGAAGGCCCAGTCCCAATTGGTAAGGGGAGGGCGGAATCCGTCCTGGCATCCCCGGCCTCTGAGCACAGCACTGCAGCTGGTGGGCTGGGACGCCCTGGCGCCAAACTGCTCTCCGGCGATGGGATCATCAGCCCCAGGGGAGCACCTGGGGAGCGTCGCAGAGGCAAGTGGCATCAGGGTCAGCTCCCAGGAGCATGATCTGCTGGGCATGGCGGTCCAGGTTATGGGTGGGCCACTGCGCAGCAGACTGGGCTCCTGGTTTGCCTCCTGGCATGGCAGCAGCAGCTCTCTCAGCCCCAGGGACTGCAGGAGGTCAGCAGTTGATGGGACCCAACAGCCAGGGTTGCTGGTCAACTGAGGTTCACGGAGCTCCTTTTCTTTTTTTCTGACACAGCAGAGGCAGCCATCTTTTTGGCACATTTTGTAGGCTTCCTGGCTGCACGATCACCTGGTGAATTACCCCGCTGTAGTTGTTGTGGCTCAGCTGGGAGGGTCTCTTAGTGCAGAAATAGAAGGACAGTTTTGTCCATTCCTGGAAGCGTCCACAACTTGCAGGGCCTTCTTCCAAAGTTTGGCCTTGATCTGATGGGTCTTGTGTTTCTGCTTTGTCAAGGTCTGGCATTGAGCACAGACCTCCACAGGGTGTCCCTTGCCCAAGCAAAGGAGGCAGAGGGAATAGTCACTGGATGGTGGCTGCCTGCCTGCCTGCCATCACAGGCAGCACAGTTCCTAAACACTGCCAAGGATGCCATTGCAAGAGAAGGGAAAGGTGGGAAGAGAGGAAATAGAAAAGGGCATGGCAACTCAGGAGAGGACATGAGGAGTGGTGGATAGGAAAGCAGGTGGAAAATACATTTTTCTAGAGATTTCTTTCCAACTAAGGAGTGAAAAAATGGGTTTGTTGAAGAGGGAGGAAAGGAGAGGTTTTTCTGGGGAAGAAAAGAGATAGAGAAGAATGCAGAGTACTTAAGTGGATCTAAGTGCAATGGTGGCTGAAAAGGAACTGAGCAGATGGGTGGGAGTCCCTCCTCATGCTTCCTGGGAACACAAAGGGGCTCCACCTAAATGAACGCTCAGCGGCAGAAGCTTCCCAGCAATGGGCTCTGTGCAGGCATGGAGCCCTTGTGTGAGATGCAGAGCGATCACGAAGAAGAGCCTGAGTGTGCCTGCTGCAGACTGTGGCTCAGCAGCTGTGAGGCCACATGTTCTCAGTGGCAGTGCTGCACCTGGGCAGAAGGGCGGCGATACCGTCATGACAGCGCTGCTCTTTGGGGAAAGGGGATTCACCAGACCATCTGCCCAATGCTGACTGCACCTGTTCTCCTTTGGTGGCCCAGGAGGAAGCGAACACCTTCGCAGGCCCCGGAAAGTCTGCAGCATCCAGCTTGGGGAAGAGTTACAAGGCACTTCCGTGCAGAATTTCTAGGAACTGTCAGGTCTGATGTCCTTCTAAGTCTCCACTGACCTAGAAGCCCATCCACCTAATCTTAGCTATCATAGGCCAGCTGTGATTTTATTTTGCACATTCATTTCGTAGGGGGAGATCAGATGAAAGGTATGAAACGGTGAGAGACACATACTTCAAGAAATTCACAGAAGCTGCTCATTCATCCTGCACAACACGGGCTTCAGACCTCCAAACCGCCCTACAGGTTTAAAGCCACCATGCAGAAGCCCCATTTTA